TCTCAAATATCACTAAGAATGCCGAGTTCCACATCACCGACAACTTCCCGTCGGATGTTACCGCCGGTGCTAACGATATCGCTCTTGTTTTCATCAATGCCGATTCAGGCGAAAACTATATTACAGTCGAAGGTAACCCTGGAGATCGAACCGAAGCTGGACTCAAGGCTTGGCATAATGGCGATGATCTCGTCAAAGCAGCAGCAGACAAGTTTTCCAATGTAGTCGTGATTGTTCACACCGTCGGTCCCATTCTGATGGAAGAGTGGATTGAACTCAAGTCTGTGAAAGCAGTGGTCGTGGCACATCTCCCCGGACAAGAAGCTGGAAACTCCCTTACCGATGTCCTCTTTGGTGACTATAGTCCAAGCGGCCACATGCCATATACCATTCCCCGCAGCGAGGATGATTACCCGGATAGCGTGGACTTGATCAGTCAACCATTTGGTCAGATCCAAGACACCTACACCGAGGGGCTATACATCGACTACCGCCACTTCCTCAAAGCTAATATCACACCTCGCTATGCATTCGGCCACGGACTCTCCTACACCACCTTCAACTTCTCCCAGCCTTCGCTGTCGACGGGAACTCCACTAGACTCCGCCTACCCAGCTGCACGACCCACCAAGCCGCCTACCCCCTCCTACAACACAAGCATCCCAGACCCTTCTGAAGTCGCCTGGTCGTCTACCAACTTCACCCGTATCTGGCGCTACCTCTACCCCTACCTACTCAAGCCGCAGTTGATAAATGCAACAAAGAAGTACCCCTACCCGGACGGCTACAGCACCGAGCCTCACCCAGTCGCCCGGGCTGGAGGTGGCGAGGGTGGAAATCCCGCTCTCTTCGAGACCGTATTTTCAGTTCAGTTGGAGGTCCGGAATACGGGTAAACGAACCGGCAAGGCCGTCGCTCAACTCTACGTTGAGCTTCCGTCTAGCCTAGGACTAGACACGCCGGCTTTGCAGCTCCGACAGTTTCAGAAGACAAAGGAGCTTGCGCCTGGTAAGAGTGAGACGGTTACGCTGCATCTTACTCGCAAGGATGTTAGTGTTTGGGATGTTGTCGTGCAAGATTGGAAGGCTCCTGTTAATGGACAGGGTATTAAGATATGGGTTGGAAATAGTGTTGCTGATCTGCCTGTTCTCTGTGAGGTCGGAGGAAAGTGCTCGGTTTAATAAGGGAGCGTTAATGCTTTGCGATGAACTGGTTACTTCCTTTTCTTGTCTATATTTGCTTCTTGTATGTTCGTTCGAACTCGAGTTTGAATATATTGTTACGCGTTTCCATATATTTATGTGAATAATGCTGAACTTTATGCTTGTCTTGGTTTGCCTGGCTCTTGGGTGTCATACATTTGTTTTCTACTCTGTCATAACAAGATACATATGATTAGTCTACCTACATACTGGAGTTCCTCTGCCACTTCTTGGCCTTCCCTTTCCGTTTTAGTGCTTACAGGCGACTATTCATGCCACTCTTGACTTAATTACTATTGGTTAATATTGCCAGCAGTACCATATGGGAGATCCTTAAAGCGGGAATTCGGTTGTACAACGATTATAATACTAAATTTGGTTGTACTACGGTATTAACTCGATTGTTTTGCAAATACCAGATTTTTCTACCACATATATCCTGCTTGAGGGTAGAACTCATCAGTCGCAGACAGTTCTCTGCTAATCTGTGATGCACTCTGTCTTTATCCACAAAGAAATTTGCATCTCTGCATCGATTGTTATCGATCAAGAAATCGCGAAACGACGGGTGATGTAGACGGAGTGGCCCGGTGAGGTCGTCAGGAACATCCAATATAGCATGAAGATACACTAGCATTTTCGGAACTTGCTGTTTAGCAGTTTGGATCAACTTCCACATAGATTCAAGAGGGAGCGGAGAATATAGGATCACAATAGTTCCAAGGATATGTCTTAAACAATCACAAAATTCCTCCTTTTCTTGTTCTATAGAAAAAGACCGCTTGCGTAGATCGCCAAACGCTCGATAGCCTCAGCACCTAGCCATATAGGTTCAAGAGCCTAATCTTAAGATATGGGTTTTAACTCGCACTGCAAGAAAATATGATATCATGACTAACAGTTTCCGACGGTAGGTGATACAGTATGAAGGGGCTATAGTTATCTCGTGGTATACGAGAAAAGCCAACTTCAATCGGGAGATCGGGCGGACTTGTGATAAGCACCCTTAGTATGTTGTTAAACATAGGTTGTACTTGAGCCAAAAGACTCAAGATAACCTGAATATCTTTGTTGTCATCACATTCATCGAGAGGGTCAATGACTAGGAGGTATAGCAGTTAACAAGAGCCGCTGTTCATCTTTGACAACGGACTAAGGATAAGGTAACGCCATTAGTCACTAAGGGATTACGTTCCTATAGCACCATACGATACAACAGCTTCACACAAGAATTTCTATAGGGGCAATATATTGCTGGCAAGTTGCCGGGTAATAGTTGTCACAAACTTACCAGCTTAGCTGATGCCTCCGCCGCCTCGAGAGAAAAAGAAACTCGCCCCCAAACGTTGCTTATCATAGAATTAGTGCGCAATTATACCGGCAATTGCTGATTTTCCCGTCCCTATCCAGCCGTTAACCCAGAAAATTCTCTAGCTGTCTTTTCTTTTGCTCCAGTTGTTGATTTCCTCAAGGACATGAACTCGTGTGCCTACAAGACATATACGCTCGTACTGTCTTCGAGTTAAATTGAAAGTCGCTTCAGCGGTATATAGTAGGCGGTTGAGTGTATCTTCAATCACTAAATTCTCAACCGGTAAGCACAGGTCATTTGTCAATAGGCCTCCAACTTACCTTGTTTCTCCCTTAGAATTTCAATCACCGTTTGTGACTGTACCACTGCGGCTGGTGGTATCACTGACAGCAAGTCCTTTGTATAGGCTGCGGCGGTTGCCGCTGCATACGGCTACCACTGCTTATTTTTATAGGAGTCGGCGTAATCGCAGATGCCTCGAATGACTAGACATGGGAAATTGTTCATAATGCCGGCCGCTTCCATCTCAAAGCATAGTACGCCTTTAAGTTCAGAGGCCACGCGATCTCGTTCGACGCCATCTTTTATTACCATTTTTCCCGAGGCAATCAGACCGTAGTGGATGACAACATCGTTTTTGCGTAACCCTCACTCCACTATTCTTTCCTTGCTGCATTTCTCGCAAGTAGGTCCTCCAACATGGCGATACTGTGCGTCAAATAACACATCTTGTCCCAGATTTGCTGATGAAAATGCCGGTACGCGATTAAAATGGGAGATACAATCGCGGAGCCGAGTGTTTTGCCCTCTTATGTGGTTGGCCTGAACCCTTGCGATGGCCGCAAGTAGTGATGGCGGCGGAGCGTTGAGAAAGCCTGTCCGCTCAAGTCCGTTTGGCGTAGACTTCCCAAAGTCATATTGCATTGTAGAGATGGTTTCTACAGGGTATATAAACCCCTGCATTATTAGTTTTATCAATTAACAATTTCTTCCTCTGCTTTTTCCGCAATCATAGTATTCACTACAACAGGAGTCATTTCGAATCCTCCATTACAATGATGGTAGGCAACCATCAAAACGCAATGGCATCCATATCCATCCACCAACACAACACCAACACCGCAGCCTCCAGACACACCAAGAGCTCTTCCACGTGCATGTGGCGCCTATAGCGGGGACCTTCCCACTTGTTGTTGGTAATGTAGGTCGGGCTTGGGGCGGAGGTGTTAGGTAACAATGTGGCGTTTTAGTGGCATCATATGGGTTTACGATATGGCCTTCGCTCTAAGTTGATGAACTATGTATCCATATATTAGGACATGGCAGAGCCACCTCAATCAATCGCCTTGTCGCTGCATTCGCTGATTTAACAAAGCCTTGAACAGTTGGCAGTTGGTGGACCTTTCCTGTCAAGTTCTGAAGCGCTTCCTCTATAACTTCGTCTTTATGAAGTGTAGCCAATACCTACGCAACAAACGGAAGCCGAGGAAGGATACGCTATCGCCCGTGGCACTAATCTAAGACCCGTAAGGGTAGTAGTATCCAGAACCTTCGATCCGAGATTAGATCCAAATTGTAACGCTATCACAGTGTAGTTTCGCGAGCACAACTGACATCAACCCACAAGATAAGGTACGAGGACGGGGACAGGGTGTGGGATGGGGCCAGAGAAATATGGCAGAAATGTGGACACACCACGGGCCTTTCCTGTGCATCTTTGTCACTTGGGTGAGCAGGATGAAATGATTCCTGCAGTCAGCACTCCGTAGACTTGGGCTCCCGGGGGGATGCTGGGGTATTAGGAGATGCGCGTGATTTAGGCGGAGTGTCGTTTGGCCAATAATATTCGATAAGCACCCTTATTTCGCTATGTTCAAAAGGGAAACGAATATGTTAAGGACAGTTTTGCAGTCTAGGCTTCTGAGGCAACCAATGAATCAAGTGGCTATTGATCTCCGAGGAGATAGGGCCGCCCGGGATCGGTCTTCGTAGCCCGGGGATTACGAACGGGGACTACGGGCGGGGACTACGGGCGGGGATTATGGGCGGGGATCAGTGATCTCCGCTTACCTTAAAATAACTTTATAAAAACAGGCTTTGTGTGCGTAGATCCTTGGCCAGAATACCGAACTAAGGTTAGCGTTCAGTACCAATGAGTCCCTGGAGGCTCTTCAAGTCATAGCCTAACGCTGCTTTTTGCACAAGTCACGAATTTATTGATGCCTGAGCTAGAATTTACGCAGGAGAGTACACATTACCAATATTACCTAGCAACGCATCATTTAAATAAGACCCATTTAAATAGGACCCAAACAGTGGATGAAACGAATCGAAATAGCAAAATAAAGCCCACAGAAACATAGTCGACAGATGACCGGCAAGATAAGGCCAGGAATAGGAACTCGTCCCATTCTACGTTCCAACCTGCCTTCCCCAGTAAGATACCACTCCCACAACACAACTTCTCCCTTTGCCCAGCATTGTGCCTATTTTCTTCCCCACCTCTTTAAGGGTCTCCCTGCAGTCTGAAAGGCCTGGATTATATACCCAGCCCCTCCCTCTGGAGTCCGCTGCACAAATAGTGCCCCCATCATGACATAGAATACAACGACAATGCCAACAAGAGCCCCCTGTAGACCCTGAATATTTTTGCCCCGCGACATATACAACGAATCACCAAGGTCCCTTTGTTCCCCGGATGCAGAGGAATTAAGCAACGCATTCATGCCCTGTAGGGAGCCGAGGACTGTCACTAGTGCGAGAGCAAGCGAGAAGGCACTCAAACTGATAGCAATCACTAGCATTGCCTTGTATGACTTCTTCCCTGATGTGCCTGTGCGAGCAACGAGGAGCATAATTCCCGTGACGAAAAAGAGGAGGACATGTATAAGGGGAGGTTGGAAGAAGAAGACATTCTCTTGGAGGTGCTTGGCTTGTGGGAGGGTGGTGTTCAAAAAGGATTGAACGTCTGATTGGGTACTAGAAGAGGCGAGGTCTAGAGGCTCCCATAGATCTTCGCTTAGCTCGTCCAGATCTTTGCTGCGCATGTTTGTGACGCAGTGGGTGGACGTTTGTGTGGAGGAATTGCCATCGGGAGAGTATGTCTCAGCTCCTTCGGTGACCGATACACATCCTCCTACATACAGTCAGTTGGGATGAATCTTTTCCAAACCTCTTCATTCATGAAGGAATATTGGCTTTTTCGCCTACTCACCGAAGTAGCCTACACGAAGTGAGATATCGTTTGTCCCGTTTGTTGAGAGCTCGGCGAGGTAGATCTCATTAGCCTTTGCCGTTGTCGAGACGCAGCTGGTCATGATATAAACTGGATGTTGTTAGGAACATACTGTACCACGCGTTTTATCCAAACTTACGACCCAGAACGATAGCTACCAGATAGGATATAACTGCCAGGGACACGACACAAAATCCCGACATTTTCCCCTTTCGATTGCCTACTCCTCGAACATTAGTGCCATTCTCGAGATGTTACAGTACAAGGAAAAGTCAAATTTCTCACTTGGTTTCTCAAGGAATACCGTTTGCGTCTGTGGAATAGGCGCATATGCCGGTACATACTGAGTGCTGGCGGGGTAAGGGTGAGGGTGAGGGTGAGGAGTTGCAAGGTGAACTGCGCTAGTAGACGGAGTTGCCTTGTTCTTGCCAGTGGGCTTCTTTCCCGTCTTATCAGTCTTCTTTCCTGCCTTCTTTACCCCGGTCTTGACCTTCTTTCGTGAAAGTGTTGAAAAGCTGGAGTTCTCCATGGTGCACGGTAGGTAATGGAATGGAATAACTTCACAGGCTGTCTATGATCAAACGCACTCTGTAGTTTGGATATATCTATGGCTGTCGTATGCCTTTATGTACTCCGGTTGAACTATAGAGGTGGTCCTATTGGTCGAGAAGTAAGGGAAAAGGATACTACATTATCTGCATCTCAGCCCCAATCACGAAGTTTGCATATCTTATATCCCATCACATGCAATATACCCATTAAGCTGGTGGGGAATGATGTTCGCCCCGAAAGCCTTTTTCCTCGTGTCTATACTTGGCAAAAGGGTGGTTTGTCGATCTTACACTTCCGTATCCAATGGGAGCAAAGCACACTAGTCCGAGTTTATGAATAAATGCAGTAGTAGGTGATAAACTCCTACCTTGTTTGTTTTGATGACTCTTGGCATTGCATCTCTCACAACTATACATACTCGTATCCAGGAAAAAGAAAAGATCGAAAACTAAGATTTCCCAGTGGCCAAAAAAAGGGGGTTGAGTTCAGCCCCCACACATGCAGCTTAAACCTGTAGGCTGGACTAGCCTTGCAAGTTCATGCTTTTGGTCGAGTCAGCCTTGATAAAGCGTGTCTACTAGCCCTTTCTATGTCACGAACAGAAATGAGCCTATATTTAGCATGGCGTTGTATTTCAATATGCAGTGTCATAAACTATAGAAGCCCCACTACTTTACAACAATTTCCTGATTTGCTCCCACGTATTGATACACCGTAGATAAGGAGTAGTTATTGTCGAGCACAGGATGAATATACCGGAAAACACCAATGGTCGGGATTCAAAAACACCTGCAAAGCCAACTCGAAAATGCTAGTCATCTTTGATGGCACCCCGGACAGTACAAGGTCATTGCCTGCCTGTGAAGTTGTGGCCGACGAATACAGCGCCCAGCTATTTCAAGACCCGCAGTGGCTGTGGGGAGATTTATGCACACGTGTGGTATCTTAAGTAGCATCTTGTGATTAGTGTTATTTTACAGATATGACACACTAATTATAGCCCGAGAAACAGTACATGTGCATTTGGCCCGCAGGGTTGGAAAACGGTGGAGGCTTAGCCCACATGGGCAGTGTGATAGCACTTAACCTTGGAATCTATGAGGCTCAATATCAAAGAATCCTCACCCTAATTCTTCTCTCTGTATAGAGTAGATAGACCTCGCCTTGACGCCGCGAATTTCATTTTTCACATATTGCCCCGACCTGCGCATGCCCTTGCACAAGACACTGAGATACACAACCCTTCTCTGCCAAAGGTTCAATTGGAGTTTATATACCTCGAGATCTCGCCATGTCTACATTTATCGCACCCATTCCTCTTAACGGACAAAACTTCACCGCAAAGCTTGCGCAAAGAAATATTCCAAAGCCCGATAAGCACGACGAGACTAAGGCCATTGACATTGTAGCTGTCCACGGCCTGACCCCCTGGGGGTCCTACGCGGGCCCTTCCTTCTGGCTGCACGATTTCATTGCAAAGGATATTCGCGGTGCCAGAGTGTTTACATTTGATTACGATGCCAAGGCAGTCTGGTTATGCGGAGCGCCACTAAATAATATCCAAGGCGCGTCCAGGATCCTGCTTGCTGAAATTGCTGCTATCCGGGAGGGAGTTCCAGTGACACGACCTCTGGTATTGATCTGTCATGGCTTTGGTGGTTTTATCGTTGAATCTGTGAGACTTTATTTCAGGCGACGCACTCCTTCTTCTGTGGTGTTATGTAGCTAACACATTGTGGAATACAGTGCCTGAATGATGCCTTCACACACCTTCCAAATATAACCGATTGCACCCGGGGGATCCTGTTCCTGAGTGTGCCGCAACGTACATCACCAGATCTCCCGTGGGCGAGACTCTTGATGCGTTGCGCGAGAGACAGCATACCTCCAGGGCTGACCTGGGCCGAACTGTCATATTTGGAAGACGTTGAGTGGGGACAAACCAGTGCTACTGTTCTGGGCGGTATCTCCGAGGGATTCAAGGCAAAGGCGAAGGCAGCTAAGAAAATGAAACTGCTCTGCTACTACGAGGACTTCCCAACGCCTCCACAGCAGGAATGTGTGAGTTTTAGTTCACAAGCTCTTACGCCAGGGGAGCGATATACTGATCCTGCCTGTAGAGTTTGAATGAGTACTCCGCAGCTCTTGGTCTTCGTCGCGAGAAGGTCCAGGTGGTGGCGGGTTGCAGTCACCTCTCCATGGCAGGCTTCCTGAGAAGGGAGGATGGGAACTATAAAGCAATTATCTCTGCCATCAAGAAGATCCGAAAGTCGGCATTGAACGATACGGTACCAACTTCTACTTTTGAAGTTTCTGAATCTGGGCTGTGTAATGAGGCCGAGGAAATCCAAAACTCCGGAGATATCCAGGCATCTCAGGTCATGGATCGACAGAATGCCAACTTGCAGAACGTAGTTACGACTACCCACAATACGCCCAAAGTCACTCCATTCTCGCCGATGCCAATGCATGCATTTGGTACTCATGGATTGAGCACTGGCATATCGCCAGGTGCCATGATCACCCCTAAGCAGCTGGCCCCAGCCTATCACAGCATCCAGGGTGCGCCAGGGGCCTCGGTCCCGACCTATTCCCCTAGTCCGCAATTTCCACAATTTGATCCGAGCCAGATGAAGATTCGCAGACGTCCTGTTCCCCGCCCCCCTAGCAGGCCAATAATTGCACCGAATATATGTGCCCCGGCTCCAATATCAGATCCAGCTGGTCACGAAATTGACCCTGTCACGCAACGCCTACAGTCTACTGTGCCTCCACAGAGACCTCATTTTGCATCTGGACAATTAGGACAGGAAATACAGCACCGTCAACACACACTCACCAACATTGCGCCAACCACACTGCCAGAACCAAATTCCTCTGCCAAGTCAGGCAAGAAGCCCAAAAGGCCTCACGAGAAGGGCCCTCTGAGTCCAGCACAACTATCATCGAATTCCGGAAATGCGGCACCCAGGCCACCGGTCATCCGTCAGCTTGTCGGTAATGAGGGTATGTCCCCGGGAAGTATTCACAGGACAGATCAACAAATGCATTATCCAACTACCAATGGCATGCCAATCAATTCATCCCAACATACCGCCCCGCAGGATAGTTCAAGGGCCTACCAATATCCTCCAGTCCAACATCCACTTCCTATCCAGCATCCAATGGCTCATGCAACCGCATCAATGCCTATTCAAGTGAAACCCCCAAATAAAGTGACAAAACCGCCGAAAGGGTCCTCATACGAGCAACGACCTAAGCCTCAGAAGCTACCAGGGACGAACCCTATGCCGCAACAGACCCATCCTCGGGAAATCCCTTCGACACATGTTCCTCCCACTTCACAGCAAGGCCTGCGTGAACTGCAACCACAGCCCAATTACACTCCAGCCCCAAAGAACCCCGGGCTCTGGAAGAGGATTTTCTCATCTAGCAAGTCGAAACCAGCCTCCACCCCAGCAGCCCATGGAGAGTCCTCAGTATCTCAAATTGGTGCACACCAGCCGTACCAGCAGTACGAGCCTCCGTCCAGACCGATCAGCTTGGGGGGTCCTGGGGCACACCCGGGGTTGCAAGGTGGTCCACACCAGCCGCCCAAAGTGCCCAAAGCACCCAAAGCTCCCAAGCCGTCCAAGCCTTCCAAGCCTCCATCCAGACCGACCAGCTTAGGAAGCCCAGGTGTACACCCAGGATCACAAAGCGGTCCACACCAGCCGTCCAAACCACCCAAGTCTACATCTAGGCCGCACAGCTTAGGAGGCCTTGGAGTACACCCGGGACCGCCAGGTGATCCACACCAGTCGTACAAGCCATACAAGCCTCCGACCAGGCCAGTCAGCTTGGGAGGCCCCGGGGCACACCCGGGATCCCAAGGTGGTCCACATCAGCCGTACAAGGCGTACAAGCCCCCCATCCAGGCCTACCATGTTAGGAGGCCATGGTGGATACTCGGGCCCACAGAGTGGTCCGTACCAGGTGTACAAACCTCCGTCAAATGCGCACTCGTCGTCGCATGGCCCGCTGAGACCGGGACATGGCCCATCCATGCATGGTCACAACCCTAATGGCCATTTCGGGTCAGGGCAGCATCAACCTTGGGAACAGGGAAACCAAGGGGGGCACGGTCATGGCTTTTATCCTGGACTAGGTCAAGCTTCTGGTCACGGTACTAGTAATGGTCCAGTCGGACCAACAGATCCAGTTGAGCAGACAGTCCCAGCTCAGCCGACAGATCCAGCTGAGCCAACGAGCCCGGTTAAGCCTCCGAGTCCAGCCGAGCCGACAGTTCCAGCTCAACCTACAGATGCAGCTGAGCCAACGAGCCCGGTTAAGCCTCCGAGTCCAGCTGAGCCGGCAGTTCCAGCTCAACCTACAGATCCAATTCAGCCGACAGATCCAGCTGGACTAGGGGGTCCAGTTGGGCCGGTAGCTCCAGCTCAGCCAGCTCAGCCAACGAATCCAGCCGAGCCAACGGGCGAGGTCAAGCCTCCAGGTCTACTTGACGCAACAGACCCAGTTCAACCAACAGATCCAATTAGGCAAGGCGGTACAGATGATCCTACACCTACAGGTCTGTCTAGGCCAACAGTCCCAGTCAACCCTATAGGCCCAGTTGGGGCAACAGATTCAGCTCCGCCGACAGATCCAGCGAGGCCGATAGGTCTCGTCGAGCCTACAGGTCTAGTCCAGCCAACCGATCCAGTTCAGCCGACAGACCCAGCTCGGCCACGAGGTCAAGGTGATCCAACAGGTCTAACAGGCCCGGTCAGCCCTACAAGTGCAGTAAACCTTCCATGGCCAGCCCAGTCGATGGGTCCAGTCGGATATACAGGCTCTGTGGAGCCTGTAGCACGCGGCTTTCCTTATGATGAGAACCATGGGCAGATCTGGAACCCCGGTCACAGTCATAATCAGACTCATCGGTCCCAGAACCAAAGCAGTAGAAGTGGAAATATTGCCGCTGGCCTTGCAGGTCTGGCTATAGGAGGGGCTGGTGCGGCTATTCTCATGGCCTCCATGAAACAAAGCGACGATGATGAGGACGACGATGGTGATGATAAAGGGGGAGGACAAAATGGCGAAGAGGACAGTGACGAAGCTGAGGACAGTGACCAAGCTGAGGACAGTGACCAAGCTGAGGATAGTGACGAAGCTGAGGACAGTGACCAAGCTGAGGACAGTGACCAAGCTGAGGACAGTGACCAAGCTGATGATAGTGACCAAGCTGAGGATAGTGACGAAGCTGATGACAGTGACCAAGCTGAGGACAGTGATGAAGCTGAGGACAGTGACGAAACTGAGGACAGTGACCAAGCTGAGGATAGTGACGAAGCTGAGGTTAGTGACCAAGCTGAGTATAGTGGTGATGATGATGATTATGGAGACGACTATGATTCAGACTATTGATTTTCCTTTTACTGTGGTCTAAAGCAGGAGAGTACGGAATTGATTTCAACCCCAGGATTGTTGATAAACTATTTACTATTTTAAGATTCTAGCGTTACATTAAGGGTATACTTCACTTCCTTTATGTTTTATCAAATTCAAGATTGTCCGTTAGGGCATATAGATAGCACTGGCCTATGATGACAAACCCTCTTAGACAACGTTCCACAAACGGCCAGAGGAACCTCTCATAAAGACAAACGTTACTAAATACTCGATGAATACGAAAGACTTGCTACGGTAACCTCTTGGGTATTGACAGGAAGTCGAATAGACGATAGGGGGAGATTCAGGAGGATGAGAACATGTAATATGATAGACCTTTTATAGTTTAACCTCTTCGCTGTCTATATTTCTTTAAATCTCCTGTGGGAGATTTAGAAAGGCTGTGCTTGTGAGACAAAGTTGGCTAGGCAGACCTGCATGAAGCTGACACTTCAGCCGCGAAAACCTCGCCCCGCCATAAATTCAATCAACTTCCTTCATCTCCCTTTATTATTTCCTTGCCTTTGCAGTGATATTTATGCTCAGTAAAATATGATCCCCGCAAAAATAGCCAGTCTATCAGAATGGGGGCCATTCCAGCTTGACGCACTTGGTCTATTGACCATTTTCGGTGCTAAAGAGATGAACACTGCAGTTGGGAATTTAGTTCAGAGCTCCGTGACCGAATGGCTCCCTATCCTTGGATCTTACACCGTGGCGAATGACGACATCATCAAGCCAGAGCCAGGGTACGTCTTATACAACATTACTGATGGGATCATGGCAACTGATGTCTCCGCCTGGTTTACACGCTGGATCTCGACATTCCCCCTGACATACACCGCCACGACTATCCGATTAAAAGTGAAAAACCAGCAATTACCCATCGTGCGGCGGGCAATTTCCATCACGATTGGGCTTTCAGTCATTGGTTTCTTGTTGAGCATGGCAATAGTAACGGCAGATGCATGGGGCATTGCCAATGTCGCTTCCATGGCCGTCTCAGTCATTTCCCGCCAATTTATAATGGCCTGTCTACGGTCCTCTATCGACCACACCATTCAGTCCCTAAAGGACGATCCCGGACAAGATGTGAAGGTCTTCATGACCCTGCCTGATGGCAAGGCCGTCACAATCTTGGGCCCGCGCATGATAGTTGTCACCTGCTTGCTGACCGAAGCACAGCCCATCCACCCGCAGTCTTATTATGTGATGCGGATGGCTTCATGGGCTGCGTTCGGTGCGCATGCCATCACGCTCGGTATGAGCGGTCTCTTCAATCAGATTTTGACCGTCGTTATTCTTCTTCTGGCGACTTATCTGACGGCAACACACGTTGGGGGTTATCGAGAGGCTATTGGGACACGATTATGCCTGGATGTTGATATGGGAGATACTGATTTGCCCCGTGGTGCGGCTTATTCGAGGCTGAAAATGTCACCCACGGAAGAGGATTGTATGGTTCACTGGAGTATGATGCCCCAACGGTCGAACGTATGGTGGTGGGATAGGTATAAACAACGATATTTATCCAATCAGGCCACTTCTGTCACGAAGGAGATGGAAGGGAACCCGAGAATTCGGAAATCTGGTAGTGATACCTCTCAAAATGTTTAGCGATGTGCTACGACTTTGTTTTTCTGGGGTTTATCTTCAATAATCATCGTTGTTCCTGTTATTTTCGTCTTTTGACAGTTATATACCAATGATTTCAATCTTCTATGTCCTATGTGCCAGCTGGGTCTACATAGGATAGGCTCAGATTACATACTCCCTATTACATGGTAGATTATAACGAGTAGATTCGTATTCAATGGCGAATGGCTACCTATAAAACGTGCCTAGGTGTGTTATTCTTATTGGATAGAAGAGAAAATACGCAGTCATAGAGCTAGAATTTACAATCAAGTCGCGAGACTATTTTTTGCCTTTCCCACCTTTTTTATTTAACCCCAAAGGGCAGGACCCCCACAGATTCCTGAGGTCCCGACACCACTAAATTCGCGCCAAGGACTAGTATGCAGCACTGCTTATGATTCAGGGGTGGCTGAGCCTGCAAATAAGACAAGGATACTCTTAAGGCGCCCGGGCGAACTACATCCAACCTTCCATGTGAGCGTTCCGAAATCCTCTTCAAATACAACCCTATCTCGTATCAAGAGGCTATATACTTTGAAAATGAGCCAAGGCTGACAGATACCAAGAACTAACGATCTACCTAGTGCCCCAGCCTTGCTTAATTGTGTTAAAAGCCGATTTCTTAAAATAGTTGCCGCCCGAGACGCTTCCCAAGTAGCCTAACCTCCGTAGGTAGTTCGCAAACTTGCGGGGGAGCGGGCCGACACGACATATATCTAGAAGACAATATATCGTTATACGGAGTCGCCAGACTGATTTTATGTTGATAACTGTGCATTCTTAAATCGAGCCCCCATACATATCTCTACAAATTTAATTTCAACTCCGAAGATGTCCAGTCAAGCATCTCCAGATCTTCCCCCAACCGAGGAAAGCACAGACGGCGGTCCCCCGCCAGGCTCAGCAGAGTTCCTCGCATCCCGACTCATCGAAAGCCGTGACTTCAGCTGCGCACACATCCCAAAGCTAGTACCAGGAATTTCAAGCAAGGTTCCCCCTCGACTAGGCTTCTTCCACTGTACCGACGATGATCTTTCATACATCGACACGAACAAATTATGCCTCGACTGCTACAACGCCGCCGTTCCACAAGGCTTTCTCTGCTGGTCGGCGTTCTATGCAAAGAAGGAGAGAAACGTGTTCACTCCGGACGAGGAATACAAGTCAGGCGAACCAACCCGCGGTAGTGGAGAGTTCTTTCCACGCCAACTTCAGGCAGGCAGAGAGGCATTTTTCAGAAAGGTGGAACCGAGGCCGAGGGCAGGCACAAAGGCGGCTCAGATATTAGGTGATTTGGATTTCGATCCCAGATCATCCGCGTATGATAAGTGGGTTCCATCTCTGCCACCAAATGAAGACACGAGAGCAGTTTGGAGGTTCTTCCAGTATGCCAGGAAGCCGTTTTATATCGACATTGTGCATATTTCGCCCCCGTGGAGAGGTGATCTAGAAGGGGAGGCTCAGGATGCGGAGGACGCCCGTGTAGGGACGGCCAATGCAGCTGCTTACTTAGGGGCTGCTCATGTTGTTCAAGCAGTGGCTGATGGGGGATACGGGCCGTATAGTGTTGTGGAGCAGCGCTTAGGTGTATATGGCACATATCGGCTTCTCAGTTTGGGGCCATGGACTCCTGATCCAGCTGCAGAGACTTTGGATCTTGAGGAAATGGAAGATGAGGAGAAAAACACAGAGCCCTTTGATAAAACGGTATGTTTTCATCAAGGCCAATATTTTCAGATCGCTAATCCTTCTACTCATAAAGCGATCTGTAGAAGTGCACCCCGCGTACTATCCATACCAGGGAGTAAATGCATATAAAAAAAGCCAGTTTATGTCATTTCCCAGTCAGGAAAGATGTGATGAGGTCAATGAAGAAGCCATTGGAAAGGTCTTACCTCCTACGGTGGACGAGCAGCTAAGACGCGAGTATGAAAAAGAATTACCAGAAATCCCCTCAATCCTGCTGCCTCCGGGGTACCAAAGTTCGGACCCTCCGGAGGATATCCAATCCGATTCCCCACTACCAAGGATGTCAGATGTTCAACCCGTCAGATGGACTGATGCCGAAAGGGTGGCTTATGAGAAAAGACAGGGCCTCGAAGGTGTCGAGGTTGGAAGCGCGTACCCTGTTGAATCAGTCGCGGGTTTTGGCATGAAAAGGCCGAGATTCATGTTGAAGCCGATGTACAAACAGAATTCACATGGAATTAGGAGCGATGGCAGCCTTTCTGCGGACCCTAATGACTATACCGGCAATGGGGTGAATCGTCTTCCCCTCGAGTGCAGAATGGGTAGTTGTGAAGACTGCCCTGATCGAGAGGGATACGCGGAGCTTAACAAAACACTCAAAGAGTTGGGTATAAAGCAGTTTCGTGATCATGGGAAATCTACCTTCGTCAAAAGACCGCAACAACCACTCGATCGGGAGCTATGGAGACCATACCTCACACAAGAAGACCCCAATCCAGCTCCCGCAAATGCCCTCTCCGACGAAGATAGCGATCTTATCTTGCAAGCACTATCACCTCCAAGACGCCCTGTTCAAACGGGGATATTCCAATATCCAAGATCTTGGTACTTGGCGAATGGGTAGGCATTCTGCCCTCAACATTAACAATTCATATGATGGCACTGACACCACGCCCCTAATAGAGTTAAACCACCCGACACCGAGACAGATGAGCTCATATATGGTACGGATCACGATGAGAGGCAAGAGCAACAAAATCAGCAGATACCGGGCCCTTTCAATGATGAAGACACGGATAGCGACAATAGTGACGGCGAGGACAATGATATCGGTGACAACAACAATGGACATAACGGTAATGAAGAGAGTGAGAGTGAGGATAGCGATGGAAAGGAGGATGGGGAGAGCAGTGACGATGAGAACGAATAATAAGGCTACCAGACTACGGACGAAACTATATAAGAGCGTGGGCTATTGAATGCTGCTGGGCATTCAATTTGAGTTGACCTTTTGGTCTAGGGGAAAAGTCGTCAAACCCATGCAGGCGGCTTGACCCTGTCACATCTCTCGTCTTTATCCTTATAGGCCGGTATAAATGCCATAATCCTTACTCCGGTGAAGAGGTATAATTGAAGCGCTAACGCCGGGCATAAAAATGCAATGATCCGCTTGCTATATAGAGGATATCATTCGGAGAAAGTCCTTCTTCGTAAAGCTATAGTCTAGATCCTCGACGTTCTTAATCGTTTTTTTTTTTTCATTTTCTATCAATGTTCTCTTTATCCACTATATCGTAAATAGCTCGGCTTCTATTGCGTAACACAAAAAATAAAATCCAAACAATGGATAACATTAGATATCTCTTTCCTACCTAGATACGGGCGACTCGAGGGATCACCGTCACATAGTTCTCCCATTGGCTAGTGCCTTACTGTGTGTAGGTAAAACCAGGTAGTTTGGTGCATGTTTCAACTTAAGGTTAATTTAGCGTCCCATTGATTCCCTTGTGGAATTTATATCAAATCCATGCTTTATATAAAATTTACAGAGATAGAGAACAGATAAATACATTTCAAAACTATATGCTATGTATATTCTCCTCAACGACCGGCGTCTTCTCAACATTCAACCCAGTCTTAGTCTCCACATGCTCCTTATTCAACTTAGTCTTGAGAATAAAAGCAGAAAAGAACACCCCAACAGCAGACATGCACGTATAAAGAATCCACATATTCCTCAAACTCCAAGCAAAAGCCTCCCTAACAGCAAGCAACTGCTCGGGATCCGTAATGAATTTAATCGACTCGATACTCGCAGCCGCCGAATCCCCAGACATCTGCGCCGCCATGCTGCTCGACATACCAGAAGCCAACAAACTGGACTGTCTCTGGCCCATACTATTCTGGAAGACAACACCGCCAATCACAATGGAGGCCGCGGTTGCCATGTTGCGAATGAAGCCGATTGTTGCCGTCGCGGTCGCGGTGTCTTCCTGTGAGACCATGGCCTGGATTGCGATGATGGGTGTCTGGAAGAGGAATCCGGCGCCGAGGCCGCTGACCATCTGGTACCCGACTATCTTGCCGACGGAGGATCCCACTTCCAGGTTGATGTACAGTCCGTTTCCGATGGTCAGTAGTACCAGGCCGATCCAGATGAGTTCGAGGTATCGGCCTGTGCGGTGGATGATTGCCCCGGTGAACATACCAGAGAAGGCTTCCATTACCACTAGTGGGAGAATGAGAACGCCGGAGCCCATTGGTGAGGAGCCGTGGACGGATTGTAGGTAAAGGGGGATGTAGTATTCCCCAGCGATGAAAACCTACAGGTTTGTTAGTGGATCGAGATGCACCAATGGAATGGAGATACTAACAAAGCCATGCGCAAAGGCTACTAGCAATGTCGCAACGTTCGAGAACCGAGCGAAGATATCCATGGGCATTAAAGGATATTTGGCTAGTTTCTTCTCGCTGTAGACGAACAGCAAGGAACACAGAGATCCAAAGACAATCAGACAGATGACCTGCGGTGATTTCCAAGCAAAAGTCTCACCACCAAAGTCCAATCCCAACAGAAGCATGAGAGTAAGACCCAGAACGGAGAGGCTACCGAACCAGTCGATGGCGCGGACGCCATCCATGATTTTCGTCTGGGGGTTATGCACATCCAAGAAAAAGAAAAGAAGCACAAACGTGAACCCGGAGATCGGTAGATTGATCCAGTAAGTCCATCTCCAAGTGACATACTGACTGAATGCACCGCCAAGCAGAGGTCCAACACCACCAGCAAAAGCCCACATGACCTCCATCAGGCCAAGATATAAACTGCGGTGTCTGTTCGAACAGTTAGTAAGTCCCCTCCGTGACAAGCATAAACAGTGAATAGCAGTTTGTAGACAGTTAATCAAGTCATCTTACCTGACACTGAACAAATCCGAAATAATAATGGTAACGAGCTGGAGCAAACCACCACCAGCGACACCCTGCAGCGCTCGACCAGCGATCAACATCTCCATACTAGTGGCAGCAGCACAAATAATCGAGCTGAGGAAAAACCACCCAACAGCCAAAAGCAAGATAGGTTTCCGTCCCCAGATATCAGAAAGCTTGGCCCAGATACATGCGCTGGCGGCGGAGCTGAGGAGATACGCTCCGCCGATCCACGTATACCCAGCAGAAGAGTGGAAATACGCTGCGATTGTTGGGATCGCTGTTGCCATGATCGTTTGATCTAGTGCGGCGATAAACATTGATAACTAGTGGGTATTAGTCGACGAATTTGAGGATTTAGTTCTGCGTCCATGGGGCCCTACTGAAAGCGCTACCATAATTGCCGTAACTTGGAGTTTGCTTCGCCCTTTGGGCGGAGCTTCTTGGATTTCCATTGATGCCTCCATTGGCAGACCTGGCAGACCTGGTAGATCTGGAAGATTTAAATTTTTTGAAGTTGAAGATTTCGGAAAGATTTTCTCCCCCAGATTGGTGTTGTGGGGCACTGGGGCTTATTACGGGGATACTGATACTCGAGGGAAAGTGAAAGGACTATCTAAATGTTGATTCAACATGGGCAAAAATGAACATATTTAAAAAAAGACGGAGTCTGTCAGCCAAATATAACGACAAAAAACCCCCAATCCAGTCTGAACGAAATATCAACTCACTTTTCGACCAACCGTAACCCCAAAGTTAACCAGCGCAGTCGCAGTCTCACAATGGACCTCGAACTCACGAACCAACTGCTCAGTCAACCCACGTGCCTGCTTGATATTCTGAGCTTGACTGCTAGCAACCATACAAGGCGGCACCAAAGCACGCATAACACCGGCAACCCATTCCCGCGCAATATGCCGCAGATGCTCCCTCCCAGTAGTAGTATAAGTCTCACGGACGACATCGGTAAACCCACAAGCAGAGATCTCATCGAACACACGCTGTGGAGCGAACGGCCATAGGCCTAGTTTGAGCATGGCTTCAATCACGCATTCACGCAGTCGGGTTATCACTTCTGGTTCTGGGACTGCGTCGGTGCAGAACGATGTGTGGTCAACTTCTTCCCATTGGATCCATCCGTTTGGTTCTGTGGTTGTTAGTCGGGTGTTCTGGTTTGAGAGTAGGTATTCTTTTGGCAAGGGAAAAGAAAAGGAAACAGGAAACATACTGAGCAAAGCACGCGCGTTGGTAAGCACCCGTATATAATCAACTTGTTTCAGGCCTGCGGTGAGGAGTCGGATGTGCACGAGGTCGTATCGGCCACGGTGCTCTGCTGGGAATGGGGCCAGTGCATTGTGGACACTCAGTGGGATTGGGTTTTGGCCAGGTCGTTGGATCTTGTGGTGTGGTGGGTATTGACTTGAGGAGATGTCGAAGCCGTGAAGGTAGACCGATTTATTGGGAAGGAGGTCGGCGACGTCTTCGAGCCAGATTCTGTGGTGAGTTAGCTTCTGTGTGACAATGGCTTCTTGTTTGTTCCAAATTCGTTTTATATAAAAAGGATAGCCAGGGAAATGAACTTACCCAGTACCAGTGCCCAAATCAGCCACTGCTGTAAGTTGGTCTTTTGGAATCGACGGGTGTATGAGGTTGGAGAGATCGACAAGAAAGCGATGCTGACTATTAAGACTATGAGATATTAGCACCAGCCAATTCGAGGGTACACGAACTGTCGGGTCGGGATCCCTGTAAGAGTTCCAAGGTTGGTGGCAAGGGGGAATCTTAGGGATATTGGATATCTCGGATATACTTCATGCTTTGAAGATGTTACATAGAGTCAAGTAGCCACATACCGTTGAGTCTCCGCTGCGTTTCGGTCCAACATGTACACCGAGTTAGAAATGCCAACCATATCAACAAAACTTGTAAAAAGTCTCGATAGACTGGAGAGAAGTCCCTGAATTGGAGGAGAATTCATTTTAGAATAGTGAAAATCCAAGTAGATCTGGTCTGTGGTAACCCAAAGGTGACCGACACCTTCTTTTTATATTATTTGATCTAACGATTAATCTAAATATCTCCATTCATCCATACTTAAGTAGATATATATCTAGTTACATATCACCTCAACATTCGAACTATGCCAGCACACAAAGAAAACCACCATCTAGCCCCGATCTCCACAGAATAACCATACACTAGTAGACTTCCCGGGCCACGATCGAACACATAATTGACCTATCCAATACCCTTCTAAGATATCAGGCAGCGAACGTCGTCGGGACGAGAGGTAATGCCTGTTCAAACAAAGCCAGCATCATGCATGGAATGCCCTATCTGGCTTAGAACCGAGTTTCCTTCCAGTCTAGCCACATCCTGGTCGGTGTATCAAACCTAGAATCAGCCAATGCAATGTCTAGACGACATCGACCTTCCTGTGGAGGGGGTAGCTGCATTTATACGAAACACATGTATAGTGGGATTATAAATTGGAAATGCAAACGTTCCCCGAGGTTGTACATCGGAAGTGGGAGTGTACTTTGTACAACAGCTCAATGTCTCAACAACCTCGGCACTAGACGATCTCTATGCGGGGATACGGATTGGTGTGAGATAGCCTTGGGATATCGAGTGGTGGCGTAGGGGGAAACGGCGAGTTGATCCACTTCGGGGCGTTGTCTTTCTCTTTATGGGCTATGGCGTTAAACGTTAATTGGGTTAATTGGGAGTTGATCTGGAGTGTGTAGGTTATGTCTACAGTCTATTGGCCTGGAGGATCTCAGGTGTATTGAATGCCCCGGTAAAGAAAGTCACAGCCCCGGAAAAGATACACATAAAATGCAATTCGAAAGATAGCTTTATAATTTTACAAAAATGAGAGCTAAAAAAAAGAAAAATATGGTTGACACCCCTCAAGACTTATCCACCAAGTTAGCAAACACATACCGGAAAATCTCCCGGCTTTTATACAAATTCTCCACCCGCATGCGCTCGTTATCCAAGTGGGCGTTGTCACTGGCCTGTCCACAGGGCAAGTTCGCTGCCGGGGCCGAAAACTCTTTTTCCAAGAACCGGATTGTCGGAATGGACCCGCCCTCACGGATGAACATTGGTTTCACTTTGCCCGCGCCAGACACAACAGCTGGTCCATTTGCCGTGGGGTGTTTGACATCCGCAGCAGACTCGGCCCGGATTGGCAATGTGACTGACTCCTCAGACGACGCTGGTGTGGCTTGTGTAAGAGTGGAGGACGTCGGCACTGTGGCGGCCGTTTGCGTGGACCGTTTGCGCGCAGCTTCCTTGCCCGCTGATGAGGTCGTTGTCGATGTGATTACCCGCTCAACACGCGAGGCCAGACTGTCATCGGAGTCTTGGCGGCGGAGGTCGGGGATCGGTCCCGCGCTGGGCTTGGGCTTGGTCGCTGGGCGAGTGTTGTTGGGTGATTGTGGGATGGGCGGGTATTGACGTTTCGGATCCTCTTGGACCGGGGACCACGCTGCGGTGATCGCCTCTGACAGCGTGGCGAAGATTTCGTTGTCTGGGTCTCCGAGCCAGGCATCCGATTTGCCCGTTATTTCGACTGTGAGGTCGTTTTGTGAGTCGAGTAGCGCGAATTGCTCTTGTGCATAAGCGGTGAGGTCGGCTGCCACTTCGTCAGCGTGCTGATCTGGTACGATACGGATCGATAGGGTTGCTTTGGCTCGGCGCGCGATGGTTGTTGCGCTCTTGCTTCCAGGGACTTCCACTGAATGGACGGTCAATGCGGGTTCACGCCAGCGATGCATCAATGACTTTATCAGCGCCTGGCTGTTAGGGATCTCTGGGTGTTGCAGGAGCAATACATCGGCAATGGCCTCGAATCGCTTTTGTTCGGCGTCCGTGAGAGGTCTGACAGCATCGTGGAAGCCAGGCAGATTGATTGTGCCTTTGCGTCCCACGATCGTGGACAGAAGCATGGCAATATCCTTGACTGGTTCATCCAGCAATGTACTTCCGTCGATACCACTGTGAAGATCAGGATGGTCGCTTGTAACGACCAAGTTCGCATGCACAACACCACGTAGCCCGTAGGTTAAGCATGGGTTATAGTCGTCAAGCCAGTAACTGTTAGCCAGTAGAACCCAGTCCACAGACCCGATCTGAGCCTTGTGCTCGCGAACCGTTTGGTGGAAACCTTGGGATCCAGACTCTTCCTCACCCTCAATGAGGAAAACGACGTTGCACCGCAGGGTCTTCGTCCGGGCGAGATCGGCTGCGGCATACAGTGATGCAAGAATGGGTCCCTTGTTATCAGAGACACCACGACCGTACAGAAATCCGTTAATGGAAGTGAGCTGGTAAGGATCGGTCCTCCACTTGGGTCGGTTCGTCTCCGCGCCTACAACATCATAGTGACCGTAGAAGAGGATAGTCTTGTCCACCTTGTCGGGTGAGGTGGCATTAAATCTAGCAAAAACAATGGGATTGGTATCTTGGCCAGTAGTCAGGAGCTTGGTCTTGGCACCAAGGTAGTTGCAGTGTCGCCGAAGGAAAGCAGCACCCTGGTTGCATTCGCCGGCGAATTTGGGACTTGCCGAGATAGTCTTGAAAGAGACGAACCTTGCAAGACTGTTGACCATTTCGTCTGGGTAAAATTTAGCGAGAGTTCGTCGCGAATGATGTGCATGGAACGTACCGTTGCTGATAGGAGGCAGCTCTTCCTGGGTCATAAAGAATTCAGTCAAATCCCAGATTCCTACTGAGTTATCATTTCCACCAGTGGCATAGATCTGACGATCCTTGAACCGCCCAGCAGCCGAGGCGAGCATGGTTCCTTCATGAGCAACCCAACCACCGACCTCTTCGAAGCGGGAGTTGAATTTCTATCGGAGGTTAGCGGAAGATGTTTCGAAGGCGACAACAATCTTAATCAGTACATGCATACCTTGACCGTTCCGCTGGAGTCACCACAGATAGCGACACCCTGGATGACGTGTACAGCCCACAGATCCCCAGTATGTCTAGTGATCCGCTTAACGAGCTGCTGAGAGTCCAAATTCCAAATGTTAAGGGCGCCGCCCGCCAAACCACAGTACAGTAGTGATCCCTCAACAGCAACACTCAATACAGGATCTCCATTCTGCAGCTTGGCAATTGGAGATGGAGCCGCGCCGGGAGGCTGACCCAGGCGCCACAACTTCACCACACCATCGCCCGCACCAGTCAAAAGAACCTCCTCGGAAGGAGCGGTCTCAACCAGGCCTTTGACTAGAAGCATGGAGTAGACGTAGCCATGATGCGCGAAGAGCTTATGATGATCCCGCTTGAAGCTTAACACACGACCACCGTCAGAGAGAGCACCATCTGATGATCCCGAAGCGCGAGTACCATCGGGCCCTCGAGAATCAAAGAAACGATGCGTCCGCTTAGATGGATGGGCTGAATATGCTTGGTTCAATGACAATCCTTCCTCGGAGAGATCACACCACTGTCCAAATTAGGATGTCGCTAAATAAGGGCGCAGACAAGGGTCAGGTACCTGTATACTGGTGTTCTGTGCACCACAGTAAATAGTTTGGTTATCCGATGAATAGACTACTGTAAATATATCACCCACATCGTGGTGTGAATAAATCGAGTAGAGACGTTCAAATGTTCGCGTGGACCACACCTATCCACGTCATTAATCCTGGTTCGTGGGATTCTTCATTTGCATGACTCACATTGACCACGGAGTCACCACCACTTGAAAATAGTAGATTTCCATCTTCGGAGAGATGGAGGCTTAACACACTCTCTTTGTGTGCGTGGACTGATGCCACAAGATCATATGTTTGAAGGGACCATGCCTGATGAACCGAGTCAGCGTCGGGCCTTGGCAGTAGAAAAACATTGCCATAGACATTTTGGAATGACAATTCAAATTCAAATTAACTTACAACAATATCCCCTCCTTGCAGACCAGCAAAAACACATTGTTCATCAATGGCCAAAGCGAGAACGGAGCGACTGGCGAGCACGCGGTGGCCGATGCCGCAGTCACTATTATGAAGGGCACTGGCATCGACATGAGAATCAGAGTCCCAGGTTTTCTGATCCTCCTCGGAGGTACCTTCTGATTCGACTAAATCCATGATCAGTCTATGTATGCTTTTTGCAATTTGCAATGTTCTGCAATGGGTTTCAACGTTGGAGAGTGAAATGATGTTGGTGTTCTCGAATTCTCTCCGCTTCAAAAGAAAATCAACCAAACAGAACACTGGAATTCTCCCGGATTCACTCCATTCTGTTTTATTGAAGTTGAACTTCAATGTTGTTTCTAAAAAATAAATAAAAACAAAATGAAGAAATATGGGAATATAAATCATCAAGGCGGCACGGGAACAAAAAAGCAATAATACCAATAAGAAGGTATTGCACCATCGAGAAAATATTTGACTCACCATCCCTAGCATCCCTTTTCTGACAGCATATCCTTCTATACAGGGAAAAAAACAAATCAGTTGTCGAATTAATTGAGTTTGGCTTGTTTATGCCACTGTCGCGTGTCTATTCATTGTTGAATATTCTTGGAACTTGTCACTATGAGACGCACCTTGGCTCCCATAATAACCGTGCTAAAGGGGTACTGGGGCGACGGCCGGTCATGATATAGGGGGGTTTAGGACTCAGTTTAAAATTTTAAGATAGATCCAGGTTGAATGAGTTTGGAGTATCAATGAAAAACGGTCCATGGAAAAAAAAATAAGAACAATGAAACGCACACCGATGTTGATCTGCAGTCCAATCTGGAGTTCTCTATTGATAAGGGAGAAAGACACCTAACTAGTTACATGTACAGAGTACGGAGTACTTTGTAGGATCCTGCCGGAGACTTGGGTACAACCCCTGATGACTGTCATCCTTCAGTACTGGACTAGAAATATTGGCTTGCAGGTGCCCATCTGTGATCAATGTGTCCAGGGTTGTCTTACGAACCCCTTGAAAATGCCTCGGAATCAAGTGATACAACAGTAATTGCGCCATTCTGGTCTTGAAATCATCATTGCAGGAAGATACCTCGAATGAACAGATATACAACACATAAGTAAGTTATATATATCCCTGGAGGTAAAAAAGAGGTAAGTCTCCGAAATCATCACGCTGTCCACCCATGCGCCTCAGCACCGCCACATATGGCTGACTCAGAGTTGTACAAGTGACACCAGCCACAGTGGCGGTGACACCGATAACCAATCAGATGTCCGATGTCACCGCTCTTTGCATCTGGGCCTCCATCGTCCAACAGCTGATCGAACAGCAGACCTACGGAGTAACTAACTTGTTACATCTCAAAGAGCAAGGATTATTTCAGCTCCATTTTTATTTTTTTCCCCTTTCAATGTAATCTAAATATAATAATATGATCTCGTTTTCAATGAAAATTCTCTTCCGGGTCCCGGCACATGCAGCTATACCGCAAATATCGACTTTGGCGCCCAACAGCCTTTGAGTGTGATATGCGATGTGAGCTCATCGAACCTACCCTGTTGATACGTGTCTGCCTTCTAAAGTGGCACCCAATTACTCTGCCTTATAGTTCCTGCAGCCTGGCCCTGTTCGCTGCTCTGCCCAACGTGGATGTGCATTGATCCCCAGCCTCCCTGTTCCGCATCACTTCTCCCACGCCTTAAAACCTCGTTGGGACGCTTCCGATCGGACCTTTGCGCTGATAAAGGCCTGAGGTTAACAACCCAACTGTCTTCTTAAGAACTCTGCCAGGGCTGTGCCTTGCTTATTCTTTGATACCCTGCTTAGTTCTTCCATACTTGATTTATACCCCGGACATTTCTTTTACTTTTTTAACCCTACACCGCTTCCTTGTCGACCGTCGATCTGGACTATCTGATGACTGATTTTCGATAACGTCGTCAGAACGACTTACTATTCGCCATGGCACCTTTGGGTCAAACAATCGCTGTGATTGACAAGTCCGGCAAAGTTGTGAGCACCGTAAGTTCGATCTGCAGCGGAGACTCAACCCCGCATTCTAACAAAAGAGTATTAGAGCAAGCAATTATTTGGTGTTTTCAGCCATGCCAAAAACGCCTATCGCGAGCGCAAATCCGCCTTCCAATCAGAACGCAATGCAAAAATTGCGGAGCAACAAGCACTCCAGGGACTTGCCAACTATCAGATCGACGACGCACCGTCGGTAGCCCCATCTCGACGAAGTCGTGGAACTCGATCAAGACACCACAGCGGCCGCAGCCACCGTGCTGCGTCCCACTACGATGATGAACAGACAGTAGTATCGCGGCAGGACTCTCATTATGAGCGCCCGCAGACAATTGCCCGTCGCCATACTCATCACGATGTGTCGGTCCGGGACGCCCCTCGCCCATCAACGGCTCGGTCAAGATCCGACGCGAATATCGACATGGATCTTGCATATGGAGACGCCTCTCATGCAGCCTTATCGCGATACAACCCCCCAGAGCCCAAAAATGACCAACAACAACTTGATGGTCTGGTCAACAAGGCACAGTGGCTTCTCGAAGAAGCCCACTGTATGCAACATGGTGCTACCGCGACTATCGCCCATCTCCAGAAGAACCCAGATGCCATGGCCGCCGTCGCCTTGACTCTCGCGGAGATCAGCAACCTGGGCGGCAAGATGGCGCCCGCCGCATTAACCGCCATCAAGTCAGCCGCGCCCGCCGTCTTCGCTCTCCTTTCCAGTCCTCAATTCCTCATCGCTGCCGGTGTCGGTCTAGGTGTGACGGTGGTCATGTTTGGAGGATACAAGATTATCCAAAGAATTAAAGCCGGCGCTATCGGGGAAGAAGGAAAGCCCGCCGAGACGGAAATGGAAATGGAAGAAATGATGGAGTTGAACACAGAAGATCTCAGTTCTGTGGAGATGTGGAGACGCGGCGTCGCTGACGAGCAAGCCTACAGCCTTGGAACATCTGTTGACGGCGAATTCATCACACCCACTGCAGCGGCCATGTCTGGCATCGATGTGACCACTGCCCGTGCGCGACGGGATCCTCGTTTCAAATTTGAAGAAGATGCCTCGGTCGCTTCATCCCGTCGCTCCCGCCGTTCACGTACCACCCGAGCTCCGACACATGCACCATCGCATGCACCGTCAGAGCGGCACGAACGGAGATCAAAGGCTCCCTCGGAGGCACCGAGTGGATTCTTTGGACGAAGCTCCTCCAGGTCCAAGGCACCATCGAAAGCCCCTAGCAGGGCACCTAGCAGAAGCAGAGCTCCTAGTCGAGTCCCCAGCAATGCCCCCAGTCGCGCCCCATCTAAACATAGCACTTATGTCTCCGAAACCGAAAAACGGCCAAAGGAGAAAAAGAAGGGTCCCAGCCGACTACGACTCATGTTCACCTCTTCCTCTTGATTCACCAACCCTCGCCACCCGACGGAATCATAATTGTACATACATATATCCACCCTTCCCTGATGTCATTAATGGGTGGATATGCATCTCATACGGTGCATGCAGCCACCTTGATCCACCCAACGCTTTTTACGACGACCTATGAGTTATGCGTCACTTCCTCTCCTTCTATTTTTTTCTTCTTCTTCTTCTTCTTCTTCTTATTCCAACCACTTTCAGCAATGCAGTCCCTTCACGCAAGCATATTTTGGCGTTCGTTGGCGGCATCTGCTGTATACCACATATCTACCCAATTAGGAAAGAATTACATTGTCTTGCATATCTTAAAATAAAGCTCTTCTATCTTCTATCATACATATTTATGTGACATGTTCTTCGCTATTGATATCCAATTCAAATTTATTAATATCTCATCCATCAATTGCCAGCCAACTACTATAGGTCATTAAGGTCGTCAATTCTTGACTACAAGATCCCGATTCCCGACTGCGGAGCCTCTACAGGTTAGATTAAAATATAAGTAAAGTAGATTCAAATACTAGCCTCCTTCAAGCTATGATTACTCTGGTCTAGCTTCTAGACATCTATGTGCTTGGAAACGAACAACTCCCATAGACGTCGATGGAGGTACATACAATGACAAGACCAAGTTGATTGGAAATTAATTTGGATCTTAGTATAAGCAATGCGCTAAAAAGAGTGACAACCAAATGACATGCGCGAAACGTAGTTTTAGACGTGTATTCACCAAGGCCTACTATTTAAATAAGGGGGTTGATAAATTGCCAAATACACAATGCTATCGCCCTAAAAGTCAGCCCTGGAGGTATGGCTTAACTACATGTAACAAGTTTAATTCTGACCCGACCACTTTCGTAACAAGTCTTTCATGAACTCATAAATTGAAACTCAAGAGTAGAGAAAGAAGTTCATGAAACAACCCAAAATATCAGGCAAGGGTTGGGCCCATCCACAAATGGCTGATTGTATAAATCCCCATCTCACATCTAGGGAGTTGTTGAAGAAGTCTCCCCATGAGTCCCGTACCTCCCTTTAACAACCACATCAAGGCCCATGTAGGTATACCTGCTTCTTCGAACAATCCGATGCGGACATTGGTCAAGAACCGAGAATTTGTCCCAAAATTTGAGCGAGAAACCAATATCATGTGTGCCCGTGTCCTACTTTGTCCGACTTCCCAGATCAACCAGATATTTCTCGATGGTGACCACTTCCGGGTCGGTGGTCATGAAAGCATGCTCGATGTAGGATTCCGCTTCGAAGCGAGTCAGCACAATTTCCAATCATACAGCGTAAGGTTCACCATACCGTAGCTCTTCAATTCGTTCCAAGCATCAACAATTGTTGCCAGCTGTCTCTTTGCCAGCTTCATTGGTGGAATCGACTGCTCTTCGTCCACAAACAATTCCTTGACTGTATTCAAGTCGGCGGCCATCTCACCCCAAGCTCCCTGAAGTAGTTCGAGTGTCTCAATAGCAGGTTGGATTACACTTATTAGGTCTGTCACTTGGTTCTGAGAAGAAAAAGTCAGTCATTAATTCGAATGTACCGAGCCGACAAATCCTAGACTTACTCCCATTGTTTTGATGTCACCCTGCAAGCGGATAGCAGTATCCCGCGCGAGCTCATTGTCGTCGAGCAGCTTCCGGATCTCTTTCATGCTGGCTTCCAATCGCTTGAGGTCTTGTTCGGCGAGAACATCTACTGTGATACCAGCAATAGTGCCAACAAACGGTCTGGTTTATAGAACTTCAGCATTCGACCAGGGACTGCAGAGTATCCAATGACTTACATCCAGACGTAGTAGGCAGTATCTTTGATCTTCTCGTGATCTATGAGGGGTAATGTGAGCCAAAGATTCAGCAGCGGACTTGAGCGATGGAGAGATCTGGCTCTAACCTCTGTCAACTTCCACTTGCAAGTCCTGGATTTTCTTCTGTTCCTCCGCAATCTTTTCATCCAAATGTTTGATATCATTTCCCTCTTCCTCCAGAAGCGATTCAAGGCTCTTCGCGCGTCCCTCAAGACTGGACTCGTATCCCTTACAATCTGTATGGAACAGATTCAACGCTTCCAGAGCATCTTTGATCTTTGCCTGTATGTCGTCAATTTTGGTTTCTTCTGATTTGATTAACCCCATGATAGACTTCGAAAGTTCGTCAAGATTCTTTTGATCAGGAGTCTCATTTCCCAGCTCATCATTGTACTCTCCAATCCACTCCAACATGCCTGAATAATACGAGCTGTCGGTACTTCCGCCTGCCATAGCAGCATACGTTTTGATTGCCCCGGATAGTATCACAAGACCGTTCCAGGTTTCGTCTTGAAACTTGGTACAGCCCTTCGAAATCTAGTAAGGGGGAAATTAACTTAGGGGCCTGGTCCAATCTCGCCACTAGCTACCAAGCATGTGCAAGATAGAGCTCCGTATTGCATGCATACCTCGGTATAATCTCCTAGTAGGATATCCACCTCATTCCAGATCTTGTCGTTCATTGCGCTTAGGTCCGTGAGTCCTAAAATGTTGGTGTAGGTATCACGGTTGGTTGGGAGCAACTTCCCAGTCCATAGAAATCTGCTTAAGGCGACCATATTTTCATCGTCCAAGAGGAATGTCTTTCCAGTGTCCTCTCCAGCATCGAATGCAGTGACGGTCGTTCTTGTGCTTTTGGTGAAAAATAAGTCCTTTGGGTACCAGACCGTCGGGTCATCAATCGGTTTCGAGGGATCGAATCTAGACATGATTGCGAAGACTAAATCTCAATTGCGATGTTAAATGCGGTAATGGTGAAGGTAGAGGACAGTGAAAATTTGCTTTGGAAGAGGAAGAGACAAATTTAAGGATGGCAAGACCTTTCTTTTATATACATTGCCACATTGCAATAGATTTCAATGTGGACTGTACCGACAATCGAACTTCTTGGGTTTCTGTATCTCCCCTGTGGTTTGAGCATAATTAGGTCATAGGGGCAGAACTAGATCGTGAAATTCTAGTTAGTATTCGGAGTAGCTAACGGGAATGCAGTATATGCATGCATACTATGTTGTAGATAGGTGTGTGGATAACACGGGGAACTGCATGTTTCGTGCTCAGCTTCGGGTATACATGCATCATGCAGACAAAGCGGGCCGAGCCATTGCATCCGACCTACCTTTAGATCGAACATCGAGCAAAAATCCAATTTGGGTGGATTTTCCAAGACAGGACGAAGGAGTAGGGTAGGATCGGGGTTCAGGATGTGCATTGGAGGAAGATGATGAGTGAAGAGGTATCGACATTGGTCTTTTGCACCGACTCTCTAACAACCTTGTCAGTGGACAATGATATCGACCAATTCAATGGACCTCATCCCATATGATTTCTGACAAACGGATACCCAAGGTGTCCTCTTCCTGGATTCCTGACTCATAATCCTAGTCTGCTGTGATGTGACACAATTTATTTGGTGTGCCTCAGGGGTTCACATGTGAGCCATTTATGTTGTACATATCTCCAGGGGACCATGCAGTCTAATGCACCTACCCCGGGAAATTTCAAGTAGGTCTCACAATAAAATGTTATGCACTGCTACAAGTCGTCGTAATGCGCGCCTTGCAGGCTCTACTAATGTGCGCACTCCTTTCAACAGGTGACCAAAGGCTCTACCAAGCAGGTTGCAACGTCACTATCACATTTATGTGCTTTTCTTCCTTATACTCCGCACTACAGTGAAACATGACTCGAGTCCAAAAGTGGTTTATGTGAGGTGACATGAGTGGAAACATGTAGCGTGTTTAATGACGTGTTGTTGCAAGCATTTTCGCGCAGTTGAAGTCGAGCCATTCCAGGAACTCAATGGAGGAAAGGAAAGATAGCCGATTGGTTGCTCGTAGTTGAACCTACATGCGCTTACATTCCATCCGTCTGTTCACTTATAAAAGTGACTACTTTGTGAAGAGCTAGAAAATGGTTTCTTCTTTCCTTACATCCCTGCTTCGCATCCCCATTCAGTAATCTCCGAATTTCCACGCCTTTCCTCAGACAAATCGTCGGTATGGCCCGCCCTACATCTCAACCAATGAATCCAACCGACTGGCAGGAGTGGTACAAGGATCTGGAGGGGGAGGGGAAGATTGCTATTCCTCTGCACGCAGCAGACGAAGTGAACAATGATTCGGTGGGTAACACAAAGTATTCTGGGCAATTCTACCTCTTGCGCAATCAGCTAAACCTCTGATAGAAAATTGCAATCCATCGAGGTATAATCCTTGATGCAACCACTGTTCTCGACTCATCCATGCACGACCTTACAATCTATGCTGATGTTCTTGCCTTTGCGGTCAACGAAACCCACATATCACCTGCTAAAAATGGCATCGTGCAGATTGTGGCTCGAGTTCTGACTGCTGCCGAGCCAGTGACCCTAGTAATCCCACCTGGGGACGCGGCAACCTCTGCAATCTCTCTCTATGCGTCAGTGTTAGACCAACCAATATCAGTCCGAACGGGTGATTCCAAACCAATCACTCTGGAACTCGGACCGACAACAGATAATGTTGGCGTAATTATAACCTTCTCTGGTGGGGAAGTGATAGCCGACTACACAAAAGGATACTCTCCAGACAGCCACCCGCAGCTGAGGGCCAGCCTGGAGACTGGGCTTCGCATTGCGCTTGCATGCTTTTGGAAATGCAGCTCAGTCTGCGTTTCTATTTGTGCTCATGTTGCAGCAATCACACACAATCAGCAACTCTACGCGATGCTCAATGCACAGGCCGTGGCGCTGGGCCAGCAGCTCACTGGACGAGTGATGGCTGGTTCAGACATGAGCTGGGCACCTGTATTGCCTCTTGGCACATACCAAAAAACCGTGGAGGCGGCTTTGGCCGCCATGGCTGCGTTTGAGGAAAATTATGGTCGCTTTCAGGATAAGGCGGAGTCTCTTCAAAGCCAAATCGAGGCGGGCAACACTATGCTATCTCAGGCGATTGACAATATGGGCTTGCATGTCAGCTTACGGGACTCAGCAAATGCAAAATACGATTATGCCGTCAAATCTTCGGCCTCTTGCGACACCCAGTTTCGTTATGAAAATGATGCGCTGGAAATTGCCGAGATAACATTCCAACGTGGAATTGAGAAGTGGAAGAACGAGCAGAAACTTCAAGCTATATTTGCCGTCTGCAAAGCTATCGTCAGTAAGTTTCCTGCACTCTGTTCCATTTATCAGTCTGTCTACGAAGTTTTTAAGGCTTACAGGAGATATAGCTTTCGCGGTGGGTATTGGCGAGCTGTGCATTGGGAACCCTACCGCTGCTAGCGGGGCAGCGAAAGCCGTGGATAACGCTGTTGAGGCTGTTGAAGACGCAGAGCAGATAGTCAACCAAGTCGAAGCCGCCCTTTCATCTGAAACATTCAAGAGTCTTGGCAAAGCTGCAAAGGCCCTATTCAAATTATACCCATCCGTGGCTGAGATTGTACGTGCGGTCAAAGCATATGAGTCCAACCCTGAGATTGACCTCCCTACAACGGGTGTTATATCTGGCTCAACGGAAGGTGATGCTGATTCTGCCGCCATCGCGACGCTGGCAGCATGGGATATATGGATTTTAGAGTCAGATCACCAGATGGAATTTGCCGTGTCAAATGAGATTGAGGGTGCAAGTGACTATCAGCTAGCACTGCGAAAGCATGCAATAAATGGAAAGCAATTGGCTCAGGCTCAGGCCGAAGCCATCAAAGCCGGTTACGAATACGTGCAGGCCCAAATGGAAGTCATTGTTTGCGCAAAGCAGGTTGATGAGCTTCAAGTTTTGCTTGCAGGATACACGGGACAGGAAGATGTGTACCAACAGACTGGAGTCCAGCTCTATGATCGTCTACTGGCACTGCGGACAGGCGTTGTGATTGAACTGCAAAACATGATTTGGGCATATCGATACTGGGCTCTAACAGACAGTACTATTGTCCTTGATGCAACAAAATCTACTGATCAGTATTTAACTGACCTCTACACCATCACACGCGAGATGGAGACAATCAACGAACAATATAACAGTGACTTTCAAGGTAACTTGTCTCATTCTTCCTCACGAGCGCTTGCTAAATACTGAGGATAGAATTTACATACACGGATAAATCTCAAATGGCATGTACCTTCACTGCATATGGGAGTTGCGAGAGCTGACAGGACAGTAGATGCCATTGAACCTCGGCCCTTTGCTACTTGAGGGACTTGCTGGTGAGAAGCACGTTGGGAGCTTTACGCTTACACCTGACCAAGACTTGGCTGGTCAGTTCTTCGGTGGCTCACACTACCGACTCAATGGCCTAGACCCGACTCTGAAGGGCGCACTGCCCAAAAGCGAGTTTGTCGCAGATGGCATAGTGGTTCTCCATTTGGAGATTAGCACATCGGGAATTTACAACGATATCCAACAGGGTAAGGTCTTTCACTTTTCGAGTGCCCCTCAACTCCGTCGATGTTCTTATGAGGTCAATGAGGCGGGCGAGAGAGGAGTGACTAGGGACCATCCTATCTTTGATTCCACAGACCACGCTGAGCCCACACCATTTACTCAATGGAAAATCAAGGTGCTGAACCCGGAGGAATTCGATTTGAGTGGGTTAACAGGGGTTGATCTTGATTGGAAAGGACATGTTCGTTTTGATCCGACGAGAAAGTTACAGTGATAGTTCTGCAGACCTGAAAATATGTGACTCGTTATGAGATATTACCGAAATTATACATGTATTGTAGTCCGTGATGCCGCCCAGCAGCAAGTACAGCAGTTCAGCCGTACGATTGCATGCCAACAGGTATTTGATCAGGGCCCCAGTAGACATTGCATCCATATTCACGGCCACCGTACGGCTGAGCCGGATTCCGGGGAGCCACCCGTCCCGGAGGCGTCGCATATACGCGCTGAGCTAGACAGGATAGAACCGCTGTACCATCAGTAGACCAATCGGCCCACGCAGATCCAGGCGGGCGAAAGGGGCGAGGCCAATCCATGGTTACGTCGCACGCAACGGACCGTGTATTTGGCCGGTTTGAAACCCGAAGATTTGGTCCAGTGCGTCCAGCAACACGATCCTAAGAACCGAGCGAGAGCGAATTGACCGCGGCGGCCACTTGGGACTGAATGGAAGCCGTAGCCCGCATAAGCCAGAAGGTCAGTGTCCGCGTTGGCCACACCATCCAGATCGAAGCCTTCGGTGTTGAGCGCGACAAAATACCCACCAAGCCATTGTAGGGGTACACGGCGGGGGAGCATATTGTCCGGCACAGCGTCCCATGACAGTAGGTGTTGATGTTCTTCGCCCGCACCGGGTTTCCCCACGGTTGGAGCAGCCCGCAGTATACATTCATATGGCGGCGGCAGCGGGCACGGGCAAAGTTGTGGGACGAATCGCAGGCCGTTACCTAGTATTCAAGCCATCATGACGCATAGTTATTTAGGGCTGCATGATGGTTTTAGCAAGCATCAATGGACATCGACATGGATTAGACGTATGCAATGCACAACGCGAATTCGAAGCAAAGCTCGCATGTTGGGCAGACTTGCATGCTCAATCTAGACATTCTTTCCTGTGCATTATTCTTGTTCCTTGTTTTCATTCAGGAGGACAGCACATGACTGCAGACTTAATCCTCTCTTTTGTTGCTTGAAAGATATAAAGATGATTCACCTGAGCTTTTCAAGTGTTCATTATCAACGATATCGTTTATGTGATATATCGAAATGTCAATGGACACCCTCAGCCCAAGGGGCCTACTCGCAAAAAACAAAACTTTCTGCTATGACGGGCCAAACTTCTCCAAGCTACAGGATGCAACCCAGGCAACCTTGACACTGCCATACGACGATAGTAGACTTCAATATTATGTTAGATTCACAGCGAGGGGACAGCAAGAGGTAAGGCAGTCACTCTGAAAAATATCTATCCGTTTGACCTTGATCTATGCTGATAAACTACTAGCTTTACGCTGATCTCCTCGTACCGGTCATGGAATACTTTTACCAAGTAGATACAAGTACCCGAGTCTTTCTCACCCATCGACACTAACAAAACAACAGATTGCCAACCAGTCTATGGACCTTGAGGTGGGCAAACTAAATCCGAGGCATGATTTGCAGCTTGACTGACCAATTGTTTGTTTCAGTCTGGATTCCGCGGTATAGAGAATACATGTACCTCAATTCTGGAACTCTCGGCCAAAGCGAAAGATGATTATGGTAGGAAGGGATCTGGACTCCATCTAGTACTCCCTGCATGCTGATTCATTTGTTTTATTTACCGCCAGATGAAATATTTGATGGCCTCAAACGACTCTACGGCGACGAATCGGACAACGAAAGTCTGCGTGCAGAAATCCAAGAAAAGATCAAACAACGGTTGGATGTAGTCAATGGCATGTCTGGCAATGCGAAAGATACAAGCGATAATCTGGTCGTGGCTATCAGAAACATAAATGACGCACAAGAGTGGGCCAAGAAGGTCGGCGTCGATTTGGCAAAGCAGACAACTGTCGACCGGCTGCGCAGGTGCCACGAAGGTGAAAGTGATGCACAGGAGGAATTTGAGTCTGACGTTCTGGCGCTGGAAAGGTTGAAGGTAAGCTCGGCTAGGTGGAATCCACTCTTTAGGTTGTTGCTCTCTCTGACAAGTGACATGCAATAGGGAATAATCGCAAAACAGAACATGCAGGATGACTCGAGCGCCTCTTTGGTAGATCTGCAACTCGCTGTTGGTGAGTTCTTCTTTCCTGGGGTCGATACTTTTGATGATGACACTTGGGCCTTGTAGGCGCGGCCTTCGATATAGCCGGCGATCTCGCAGCGTTGACCGAGTACATTACCAACAACACTGAGCCTGGGCCTGGGCCTCTTCTCAATTTAGAGCAAAATGAACTGCTGGAGATGTGGAGTGATCTGGCTGTTGAAGGTAGGAGAAGGCTTTCCTCTTTATCAGTATACAGAAATGCTGAACTGACCTGTCACATATAGTTCAGAAGTTCAAAGACAACTTTATTGGTGCAGAGAGGGAGCGTGGCAGGTTTGATCGGTAAATGGAATCTTATTCGGTGAGACTTGATTGTTAACTTGTTAACTTGACAATTCAGTTTTTAGTCTTTGAATGGCTCCAGTAGTAGTAGTAATAATAGTAATAACTAGTGATAGTAGTAGTCGAAGTACAACATCGGCAAATAAGAAAAGCCGATGATCGGCAGCGTAAACTCCCCCTTGCGTACAAGTTCAGGGTACAGCACTCTCCGGATTATATTACATGCATATTATAGGGCTCTGGGAATAGACATCCCTGTAGGGGTATTTTTGAAGAGACAGACATGTAATTCTAGGGATTTGGCTAACATTATCACCGAGCGAAGAATGTGTGTACAAAAGCATTGCAATTTTGTCAGAATGATGAGCATTCCCCTGGAATGATAGCTGTATCAGTTCGGCGTGCTTTAATAGTTAGTCTACTCCGTACTTAATAAACAAGGGTATTCATCCAACTGTTGAATCAAATGTGCAATCGGCAATTCCCAATTCGATTATCTGCCGTGAAGTCCATGAATATGCAACATGCATGACCAAAAAAACAGTCCTGGAAATGATCGAAGCCACGAACCCCAATTTCATGGGGGATGATCTGACTGTGGTCGGCAGATGGAGGGTGCTCAAAGAGCCGGAGGCTTTTGTATTAGCACTGCCCCCATTGGCGGATCCTGAACCGAGTAAGTCAGCAACGAAGCCAGCGAGTATTGTCTCTGTTAATTCGCATTTTTGTTTTTCATTTGCAATTATTGAGCTAGTTTGATGTCAAAGAATATATCATTTGTAACAGCGTAATTATATCAACTCTGCTTTTGCTTTCCAATCTACAATTTCGGTAGTTAAGCAATGCTGGGGGAGCCCGGGGAACCCCATTAGCCCCACAGGGAGCCGCGAAGTGCCGTCGCATTAATGAAGAATCCAGACGCTCTAGGGAAATGATCTCTCCATTTCCACTTCCTCCGGGGATAAGCTGTGGATCGCTGTAGGCGCTAAAGCAGTTCGGAATGAGAAATCGTATATTTCCCTTCCGGCATTGCGCAATTCCGTCTTTTCTTTCACCGAAGTAAGTGTCGATAAGGACGGGTGGAACGGCAATCCCTTGAACGAATAGACACGAAGGTGGTAATTTCTTGGGTACTTCAAGGACTGGCTTGCCAGCCAAAAACCTCTTCGTTTTTGAAGTCTATATCTCTATGATATAACAATCTCATCCCCATAACGAAAGTTTTCAAGATGGAGGTCCCACGGGCAAATGTTCCTTTACAGGTGATTGTTGTCGGGTATGTCTTCCATTGTCCATGGTTTAAGATACGAGAATGGTATGCTGATATTTTGTAGTGCTGGTATGTTGTTTCTGAATGCCGATGAAGCTGCATTGGCTCGAGGAAAAAGGTTGTATTAACAACAGTCGAACCAGGCATCGGCGGTATGGCAGCAGCCCTCACATTAGGTCTGCGAGGACACCATGTTATTGTCCTTGAAGCTGCGCCGAAGGTATGTATCCTTGAAGATCCATGCTATCTCAGGCAAGGCTAACCACTCATGATAGCTCATGGAAGTGGGAGCTGGAATTCAAGTGTCCCCAAATATGTTGCGTTTGTTCGACCGTGAGTCTTTGCCTCCTACAGGAAAAAAAAAAAGACCATGCTAATCGGTACCAGGATGGGGCGTCTCGGACCTAATCCACGCCCAAGATGTAGCCCTAGAACACATCCACGTCCGAAGATGGGACAACGGGAAACTCCTCGGCACAATGCCAGTGAATAAAACATTCGGCCAACAAGTCGTTATCCACCGCGCAGACCTGCACAATGCTATCATTAACAGGGCTTTGGCACTACCTAACGTTGAGCTGCGCGAGAACTCACCCGTTACAAACGTGCAGTTCAGCCCAGCAAGTGTTAGTCTAGCCAACGACGAAATCATCCGCGGCGATGTGGTAATCGGTGCAGACGGGATCAAGTCCACCATCCGTAATCACCTGCTCGAAGACTCGACTATTAAAGCAGTTGCCACTGGTGACGCGGCGTACCGCATTATGCTTCCTCGACACATTATGGAGGGGGATCCTGAATTGAAGAAGCTCCTTGACGAGCCGCAGGCGACTCGTTGGCTTGGTCCTCAACGCCATATCATCGCCTACCCCGTGCGCAACCATGAGCTGTACAATGTTGTCTTGCTTCATCCCGATGGCCATGGTGTTGAGGAGTCTTGGACCACGAAGGGTTCGAAGCAGGCTATGGTTGACAACTATGATGGGTGGGATAGCAGGGTGCGCAAACTTATTGATCTGGTCGATGACAATGAAGTTTTAGAGTGGAAGTTGTGTCTGCATCTTCCACTGAGAACGTGGATCCGGGGATCTGTCGCTCTGATCGGTGACGCTTGTCATCCCATGCTGTACGTGCTCATGAAATTTGGCTGGTTGACATCAAGACTAATCTCGCTGATTTAGTCCATATGTTGCACAGGGTGCTGCCCAGGCTGTTGAAGATGCGGCCGCGCTCGGTGTCGTCTTGTCGGCTATCTCATCACGCGAGGAGATTCCGCATGCATTGAGTGTTTATGAAAGGTCCCGGAAGAAGCGTGCTGAGACAGTGCAGCAGTCCGGATCGGAGAATCGGATTACGTTACATTTGCCAGATGGACCTGAGCAAATTGCCCGAGATGCGCAGTTCAAGGCTTCGGTCAGCGGAAATAACCCCGATAAATGGTCGGATCGTAGGACACAAGAATTTCTTTGGGGCTGGGACGCAGAGAAGGCGGCGTTGGATACTTGGAATGGTATGTTCCCTTATATATTTCTGGTGGTCATGTGCTAACTTGTGGGCAGAGGATCAAGGGCAGATCGCAGCCAATGCGAATCTGTAGGCGCCGTCGATACGATGCATCTCCTGTTCATATCTCCGTTTTTGTTATAGCCTAGTGACTAGACCCAAGAGCATATATCTTTAGAAATGTAAATACTTCACTTCATTGGAGTCACCGGTTTACGTGGACATAATAAAGATGGGATCATTTAATTCATCCAAGACATTGCATTTTTTTTAATACCAATTCCCATATTGTTCATATTTTCTCCAGTTCATTATACAGTCATTCAAGCCCAACACCATCCATCATGCATCGGTGGAACATTGGACAGAGAGACTTGACATGTTGGCCCGAGGAAGCCAGGGACGGTCAACATTTGGCATTCCAATCATTCAAAATTGAAGATATGTCACACTCCTGTAGACACGATTTACAGTCTCTCACCAGCGGCGGCCTTCATCTGACCGTACTTCTTGAGACGAATGGCAGACACGGTGATGAACCCAGTGGTCTCAGCGGGGGGAGAAGTCACCAATCTCATCCATGGAGGACTCGCTCATGTCGTAGAGCTTCTCTGTCTCGGAGGAGCGACCGAGGATGGAAACGGTGCCCTTGTAGGCGCGGCAGCGGACCTGGCCGTTGACGGACTTCTGGGAAGCGGTGATGGAGGACTCGAGGAACTCGCGCTCGGGGGGAGAAGTACATGCCGTTGTACAGGAGCTGAATATGTTAGACCCGAGAATTGAATACCAGGAAATATCATCCTTACCTTGGAGTAGTTGTAGGTGACGAAAGAATCGCGCAGGGCACGGACTTCACGGTCCATGACAAGACCCTCAAGGTCACTGAACAAAGATTAGTTATACCACCAACGTTTTGATTTCGCAATTCAATACTCACAGGTGCGCGGAGCGCAGGCAGGTGAGACCGGGGGTCTCGTAGCAGCCGCGAGACTTGATACCGATGAAACGGTTCTCAACGATATCGATACGGCCAACACCGTGACGGCGGGCAATGGCGTTAGCGGTGAGGAAGAGCTCGACGGAATCGGTAACAGTCTTCTGCTTGCCAGCCTCGGTGTACTCGAGCTTGACGGGGACACCCTTCTCGAAGTAAAGAGTGAAGTCCTCGGGCTGATCGGGGGCGGTCAGGGGGTCCTGGGTCAGCTTCCACATGTCGGTGGGAGGAGTGGTATTGGGGTCCTCCAGGATGCCGGCCTCGTAAGAGCAGTGGGCAAGGTTCTCGTCCATAGACCAGGGCTTAGACTTAGTGGAGGTGACGGGGATATCCTTCTCCTCGGCGTAGTCGAGCAGGTCCTGACGGCCCTTGAAGCGCTCGTAGAAGACGGGGTCGCGCCACGGGGCAAGGACCTTGATGTCAGGCTGGAGGGCGTAGAAGGCAAGCTCGAAGCGGACCTGGTCGTTACCCTTACCGGTGCAGCCGTGGGAGACAGCGAAGCAGCCCTCGCGCTAAATTGGGGTCAGTATGACATCTTTGTGCTGGCGGAGAAGTGAATCGTACCTGGGCGACATCGATCTGGGCACGGGCGATAACGGGGCGAGCCAGGGAGGTACCGAGCAGGTAGACGTTCTCGTAGACGGCGTTGCAAGCAATGGCGGGGAAGCAAAGCTCCTCGATGAACTCGCGGCGGATGTCAACAATCTCGCACTTGAGAGCACCAATCTTCAAGGCCTTCTCGCGGGCAGCCTCGAAGTCCTCTGCGAAAGGTTATTAGAGTGGCGTTGGATGATATGTCGATGAATTTGAATTACCTTCCTGACCAACATCGGCCACTATGTTCATATTAGTACTGGACCTGGGTGGGCATGGTATTGAATCGCGACTTACTGAAACAGACGACCTCATAGCCCTCTTCGATGAGGTACTTCACTGCAATTCCGTATTAGTATGCGCGATTGGTGAATGAATTGACCGGTGATATTCATACAGATGCAACTGGTATCGAGACCGCCGGAGTAGGCGAGGCAAACCTGTGGGATCGAACTGTCAGAAAGAAAGTGTGGAGAGAGCGGGTGGCGGTGTGGGATAGAATTGGAATTGAATTTGGGAACTGAAAAAGGAATTGTAGCGCGAAAGCAATAGTTCATACCTTTCCCTGTGCCATTGTGTGGAATTGAACGTAAAATTCAAAAAGACTTATAGACGTGGAGTATAAAACAAAAGGAAGATTGAGTCATTGGGAAAAAATGGCAGTTTTGGTGCGGGCCGGGGAAACAAGTCACGGGTCCGATGTGATAGCCCTGATAAGATAGCTCTTTGCCCCTCCAATCCTTGTCCGAATCAACTCCGACTTACTCCTAGAACAAATATATGACCTCAATGGACTTCAAATTGGTATACAAGCTTGTGAACATTTCTATGAATATTTCAGGCTCGAAGTTTACCGTATTTTCTGTGGAGGGAAGGATAAAAATACGATTTCGCCTTTTACATACGAAGATAACATTACAGAAAAGATAGAGTCCGATCTCGGGATCCATTGGAAGGGAGGATATGTATGTACACAATCAGCATGAATATACTATGTATGATGCAACCCGGAAGGCTTCATGATTCCATGCTGTGTATATTCCATCCTTACATACAATATGTCCATTATCTACTGTGTTAGCCCATTCATCACAATTCGTCATACTTCGGGCAACTCGTTTGGCTAGTTTGTCCCGTTTGCATTATCTCGGCTATCCGCGGCGGTTTCCCCGCGCAATGCCCCGGACAATGAACAAGGAGTAAATTTAAAGGCAATCATCCCTACAGAGAAGAAAAGTTTTATGTATTTACATTCTGTTCATATCCCACCATACTAGCCAGAGATGGTTTCCTTACGAACTCCTTTGCGGTCTCTTGCCCAAGCTCCTCGCCGGTTCTACTCTGGAGCTCCCACTCCGGCAGCAAAGCTGAACCTACCTATTGACTACAAAACGATTCCAATTTTACATCACACCTCATCCTCCTTGTCAAATACATCAGAGTACCCGGCAGGTGCCACGAGTAAACGACTCAACTACTACCAAGCAATTAACTCAGCACTACGGACAGCACTATCCAAATCGGATCGAACTATTGTGTTTGGCGAGGACGTTGGATTTGGTGGTGTTTTCCGATGCTCGATGGACCTCCAAACAGAGTTTGGGTCGGATCGAGTGTTCAACACCCCCTTGACAGAGCAAGGTATTGCGGGGTTTGCAATTGGGGCGGCAGCGGAAGGGATGAAGCCTATAGCTGAGATCCAATTCGCCGACTACGTATTTCCAGCATTCGATCAGATTGTCAATGAGGCAGCCAAGTTTCGGTATCGAGAGGGTGCGACTGGCATTAACGTTGGGGGTCTCGTCATCCGTATGCCGTGTGGCGCGGTTGGACACGGTGCTCTGTACGTTATGTTGTGTCCGAGTGCCAAGCAAATCGGTATGCTAATTGACTGAATAGGTACCACTCTCAATCCCCAGAGTCACTTTTTGCACATATCCCCGGTTTGCGAGTAGTCATGCCACGGTCTCCTGCTCAAGCAAAAGGACTCCTTCTGTCTTCGATCTTCGAGCACAATGATCCGGTGATCTTTATGGAGCCCAAAATCCTCTACCGTGCAGCCGTGGAATATGTCCCGAATGAATACTACACCATCCCCCTCAGTAAAGCTGAGGTCATCAAACCTGGCGAGGATTTGACTATCATCTCATATGGACAACCTCTTTACATGTGCTCTTCGGCTATCTCCGCCATTGAGAAGACCATGCCGGGTGTCAGTGTGGAACTTATTGACCTACGAACTATATATCCCTGGGATAGACAAACTGTAATCAACAGTGTCAAGAAGACGGGTCGAGCCATTGTTGTGCATGAGAGTATGATCAACTATGGTGTGGGTGCAGAGGTTGCATCCACGATACAGGATAGTGCATTCTTGCGACTTGAAGCCCCCGTCAAGCGAGTTGCCGGGTGGAGCACACATACTGGGTTGACCTACGAGCAATTCATTCTGCCCGATGTTGCAAGTGAGTATCCAGTGTCCTATATTTCGTTCCTATCACTAACCTATGGTCTTCCTACTCTAGGGATCTACGACGCAATTAAACAAACACTTGAATATTGAACTAGGATGACTCCTAGGAGATTAGAATAATACGCAAGCCATTTTTACCTAAGTACATTGTGATTGGGGCCAGGTCCAGGGAATTGCACCAAGCAAAAGAAGAATGGTAACGTGAACTTTGCTTGGCTGAAAATAGTCTGTTTTGCTCTCAATTGCTTCACGGACAATGTTAAATACTCTGGGAGCTAGAATATGTTGGTTAATTTATATCTCTTCATTGTTTTTTGGGGGGTTGACTCCATGATGTAGGGGCCTAAAGACTCAACTTCTACTCCGTTCCTTCCCTTCTTCCAAGTGCCACCTTCCCTTTCTGACTCCTTCCTTCTCTGACTCCTTCCCTTTCTGTTCCCTCGTTCTTTCCCATTCACGTGCACTTACTATACGCTACTCCCCGTCGAGAGTCAACCTTGGAAGTGTGGTTTCATTCCTCCCGAGGTCGTCTCTTCCACACCCTTTTCCATTCCATCCTCCCATTCTCTTTACCTTTCCCATTCCATCTTCCCAATCTCTCTTACTTGTTCCACTTCAGTCCCCTCCACCTTAAATCTATATCTGACTTCTGAATCTCTTCGCCTTGTTTATCAATTTCTGTGGCTGTCTATTTACCATTTGTCTAAACTTGCCCTCGGTCATCAAGCCGTGGGATGCAAGTCTCATTACATCTGAGTTAACATTGTTCTCAACCTCAAAAAAGCCAAGACCCCTTCTCCCTGCCCTAGTTTTGAGATCAAATATCTTCACTATGGATCCCAACGCAACGGACCTTGAGACAGCGGATCTTGTTTTACAAACTTCCCTACAGGAGGTTGAAGAGGCTTTGAGATTACTAAATCGAGATGCAAATGACGGAAGAACACAGGCTCGCGATGAGAAGGTTGCTCTTCTATACTGGCGAGCCGAGCTTCGACGACGAATCAGGACCCAACAGGATCGCCGGGAGGCCCTACAGATATCAAGGGAATCACGTCTCGATCAGGCCGCCATTCTTCAAGACATCCATGGTCGCGAGGTGAATGAAGCGCCGGCAGCTCATGTACAACCTGCCGGCCGTGCACCTACTCAACCGCAAGTGCCTGGCCCACAAGTGCCTAGCCAACCGCAAGAATCTCGTCGCACATTGGGCAACCCAGATGTTCTGACTCAAACACGCAAACGAGCGTATGATACGACTACTGCGGTGGTGCCTCACTATGGTGTCTTGCGGGAGTGCGTCGCCTGCTCAGAAAGTTATCCTGAGTCCGGTATGATTCGGAACAGTTGCTCACATATTTACTGCCAAGGATGTATCACCCACCTCCTGGAAAATTCACTCGCCGACGAAAGCCTGTTTCCACCTCGTTGTTGCCGCCTGCCTTTGCCATTGGAAGCTACGCGGGGTATCATCAATGTTGATCTGTGGGCGAGATTCGAGGAAAAGAAGATTGAGCATGGGGATAAGCATCGTACGTATTGCTCAGATCCGGCTTGTTCCCGGTACATTCTCCCATCACGTGTCCGTGGTACAATCGGAACTTGCAGGGTATGCAATCGAAAAACGTGTACCCTCTGCAAGAAAAAGACTCATCAGGGAGAATGTGTTGATGACCGCATAGAGGTCCTAGAACTCGGAAAAGCGAAAGGATGGCAAAGATGTTTGAATTGCAGTCATCTTGTTGAGCTTCGTAGCGGCTGCAACCATATCACGTAAGAGTTTTCTCCCATCAAAACGAAAACTTTTCGACATTATGGTTACACATGCTAACACACAATCATTTGTCTAGATGCCGTTGCCGACATGAATTTTGTTACGTTTGCTCTACACCATGGAAGCAGTGCGAATGCGCCCATTGGGATGAGGCCATGCTTGAAGAGCGAGCAGGGGTAATTGCGGCTCGGAACCAGCCCGCTCGTCCTGCACGACAGGTTGTTGAGCAAGCAGCTCAATTCCTAGTTGAGCAGCATGATTGCTATCATGACGGGGCGTGGAAGAAGCTCGGGATCTCTGCCGAATGCGAGGAATGTGGCGACTTGATGCCGGATTACATTTTCGAATGCAGGCATTGTGGACTTCAAGCCTGCAATGCCTGTCGGATAAATAGGTTCTGATTGAAGGGCTGCGAGAAGGAAGCGTGAAATGGTGGATGAACTATTCGGTCAAGGGTATTGATTACCTATGCCAAGCGTGGGATTCAAATGGCCAAGGATTTTTTATCAAGTGAAACCATTCCAGGTATTTTTAGAAGGAAAGTCTTAATTGATTAACCAAGAGCGGAATTCGAGATGGTTAGTTAGCCCTCCCCTGAAGATTGATTCGTAAGCTTATATAATCTCGGATTTAATCCCGCATTTGCTCCCATAATCCATAAGACGGCGCAATCAATGCCTTTGAAATCACTCTCAATCATGTCCACGGATAGTATCACGTAGTATGATGGATCTGTAATCACCCATTGTATAACAATATTGCGTGCAAATATGCCACAGCATCATGGAGCTATAAAGGGCCATAACCCCTCCATCTGGGGGCTTCAAATTGGACATCCAACACTCACACAGTATCCAGCCCTACAATTATCACTCGAAAAGCCAACTCTGTGATTACCTCTCACAGCAATATTTCAATTTCAACATGGCAAGCATCAAGGTTGCCCTTGCTGGGGTATGTCAGCCCAATCACCCGCATACTTTTTCGGTCGCTAACATGATCCCCAGGCTAGCGGGAATCTCGGTCCTGCGGTGCTCAAGGAGCTGCTCAACGCAGGCTTTGACGTGACTATTCTCACCCGACAGGGTAGCGACAAGACCTTTGACTCTCGTGCCCACGTCGCACAGGTGGATTATGAGTCCCTCGACTCGCTCAAGACCGCTCTGTCCGACCAGGACGCTGTAGTCAGCACTTTAAATGTTGGCGCAGTTCCCAAGTCCATCCATCTGCGCTTGATTGATGCAGCCGTGGCAACTGGTGTTAAGCGGTTCATCCCTTCGGAATACGGCTGCGACTCCAAGAATCCCCTCACTGCTAAATTGCCTGTTTATGGCGATAAGATTGCCGTTCAGGAGCATCTCAACAACGTCGCTCAGCAATCTGGGCTCAGCTACTCGCTGCTCATTACTGGCCCCTTCCTCGACTGGGGTCTTAAGCATGGCTTCGTGCTTAACCTTACTGGTCCGGCTACGCTATATGATGGCGGTGATCGCCGCTTTAGCGCAACCACTCTCGCCGGCATCGGCAAGGGAGTTGTTGGAATCATCAACAACCTTGAAGCCACTAAGAACTCCACAATTTATATCGAAGAGGCTAGGGTCACTCAGAATGAGCTGCTGGAATTGTCTGGCAAGAGCATTGAGACGAATGTTGTTAAGACCATAGACCTGGAACAGGAAGCTTTTGCTGAACTGGCTAAGCCGGCCCCCAACCCGGTAATCTTTGCTACTAAGTTCATTCTACGGGCTATCTTTGGTGAAGGATTTGGTTCTCTTTTCGACTCTGAGAAGGTTTCTAACGATTTGTTTGGACTGAAGACTCTGTCGAAGGAGGAACTCCGCGGTCTTATCCCGCAGTGAGTGCTCTTTCGATGGTTTAAATAGTCTCACATGTTCCATAGGCGCTGAGTTTATAGCATCAATTCAATCAATTTAGTCTTCTGGTTTCACGATAACTATACCTAGCTTTCGTAGGAAACAGACTATTAATATAGCCTATCTGTCAACCACCTTGCGTATTCTGCACTGACCTGCATTAACTGGCTTTTCTTGCTTTTTTTTTTCTCAGTCTTTATTCCTATTTGGAGATGGGACCAGAATTACGTTATAACGCACGAGTCGGACCCAACATGTGGAAGTTTTTGCTTGATTGCCAAAGTGATTTGTCCTAGGCATATACAAAGCTTAACCAAACAAAATCTCCACATCGTGCCCGAGGGACCACAGACTATCCTTCCCAAACTCTGGGAGTATTGGGGTGCAAACTTGTATAACATGCTAAGTGTTGTGAATAGGATATCGAAAAGGTCATCCTATATACCCTAGATATTGCCTAATCTGGAAATATCGCGAGCTTCGACTTATTTCGGAGGGCGGTAACCAAGAAATACCAAAATTCTTTTAGAACCCTTAGAAAGTCCACTTCGAATTTTATCCGAAAAGAAGTTCTCATATTCTGTTTAATTGACTATAATTTTGGCTATCAGAATTACCACCAGATGTAGGCTATGGATATGAGCCCAAGTCACACAAAAATATCAAGGTAATTAAAACAAATTAAACCGACAAATCATTCTTCAAACTTTGATCCCTCCGCCGCATGGCCTTCAGACTGTTATCCATCTCTTGGTTAGAGTCTTAATTTGACTGCAAGACTAACATTTGCAGTACTTCAATGTTTTCCCACATCTATAGCAGAGGTCTCCGTTACACAGGCAACTAATACATGAGGTCAGTCTTCGTGGTTTTCTGGGGCTTATGTGGACAACATTCAGCCTACCGTATATGATTGCAGCCAGACACACGTTCTATCATTCTAGAGCAATTTGGGCATCGTTGCCACTTCTTCTTCTTTGCTAGTTTTTCCAGCAACACATCATTGGCCACCACATCATCACCAGCAATGCTCAGCTCATTGCCATTATCGTCGTCGCAATCACCTCTGTGTCCTTCCTTTTTGCAACCAGTGCAAGTTCGAGCCGTGCAGAACTGGCAGATTCCCATCCCGCGACGGATGTTATGTGGCGGGATATAGCGAGAGCAGGTTTTTTCCCAGCAATAAGTTCTCTTGGAATCACTGATTTCGATCTTCCGTTCTTTGAATCTCTTCGTCATCTCGATGCCTATCATATCCTCGATAGCGGTAGAGGCACGAATTGGCTGGCGGCAACATCGAGGGGGATACAAGGACTCGTTCGTGAGGGAATTTTCAAAAAGACGCAGAATACATTCGTAGCAATAGTTGTGAGCACATTCCGTTTGGAAAATATCCGACAGTGGATACTCTTCCGTACAAGATGTACATGCATGTCGGGTCTCTGTCTCTTCTTCGCTGGTTTCAGCGATATTGTCATTGGAGCTTTCATACTCAACGAGGCCCCCGTCGCTATCGCTATCACCCCATGGCATATATTTAGCTGACGATGCCATTTTTGCTGGTGACAGGGCTGCGTCTCTCGAGGGACTCGAGGTTGCTCTATATCCCGCAATCTTACTCATGAGTTCTCCCAACTGTTTTATGGCTCGGTTGATACTCATTTCAACCTGAGCTCATATCACAATCTATGGATTGATATTGTGAGTAGAATACAAGGTGGCTCTTGTAAGTGAGGTGGAATGGCCTTTGGAATATCAAAAACGTGGGCCCCCATGTTTGCCAGATCTTCCTTTACAGGTGAAGTCACAATGAGGAGTACAAAGAAGAAAGATCATAAGATAGTAATTTGTATTGTATTTACAGAAAAGTCTACTACTGGTAGAATCTATTTATACAAGAGATCTTTCTATGTATATCCTTTGATATAACTATGTAATTGTGATGGCTAAAGGCGTGTCTAGTCCTCGATAGTCTGTTACTCTTACTCGAATGCTCGGATATTAAGAAGATACACCAAAACCATCAACTTGTTAATCTCCATATGTCAAAAAATGCCTCATTCTTGACGGGGAAAAAAGCAGATCACTCAAAAACAACCGTGTAAACCACATAATCTACTCTTCCATTCCAACTACATTTCGATTGTATCCAGAACGATCTCCCAGATGGTCAGTCGTACCTTATCCTGCTCGCTCCAAGGCAAACCTGGAGCGCTCCCTTGGATTGGCTAGTTCACGCATCTCGTTCGTAAAGATTATCTTCGTCTGCGAAGCTACAACCGCACGTCTTCCACTGTTTCCCACAAAAATAACAAAATTCGTACTTGCAAAAGCACCTAGTAGATGTGAGTCCAAAGACCTGCACAGTCAAAGCTGAAGAAGAGAATAATTAAAAATGTTAAATGAAATCTTGCCCTTACGTGATGTGATAACAGCCTGTGCTGAGCTCAATCAGCCGACTGCAATTAGAGCACCGTTGCCACTGCTTGGAATCCGCCAATTCCTCCAGAAGCGCATCAAGCTTATATACACAAGTTCCCTGATGATCGCGCTTTTTGCACTTCCTGCATGTGCGTAATCCACAGCTCGTGCATTTGCAAACACGATTACGGGTGGGCTTTCGGGGGAGATATTGAGCGCACTTTGAATCAGAACAGTAGGTTCGGTCTGGATCGTTGAGTTCGATCGTCTTCTCCTTGTGCTTTTGAACCAATGCAGATCCTAGCATCTTCTCCGACGCCGCAATTGGCTTTTTGCAGCATTGGGGAGGAAATGAGGATTCATCACGCAAAGCATTTTTGAACAGGCGGACCAGACATGCCTTGCAGTAATAGTGTGAGCACTTCGTTTTGATCATTTCATCTTGGGGGTGGTTGTCCCGACAGGAGACACACTCATGTCCAACCTCGGATTTCGGGGAATCGATCAAGTTGATGGCATTTTCGATGGAATTGCCAAGTTGCTGGATTTCGACACGGAGGGAATTGGATGAGGTTCTTTTTTTTCCCGTACTTCGACAAGTCATCTTCTGTATCTAATCCCATTGACATAGCTGTACCCATACTGACGTTGCTCATGCTGATCCTTCTTCCAGGATTTTATCCAGGTTGAGTCCTTGTCTTGTTTGTATTTTCTTTTGTGGGTTGTTGGTCTCCTAGTTTATGTTCATCAAGAATAGCTGTAAGACTAGAGACTTCCTATCTTGATGTGTATCCATGCGATGAAGGGAGCACTTGAATGTTGGATATAGGAGTGCTAAAGGATAGAGAAACTCCCTGGAATAACTTGAAGCATCTGCAAAAGAGGGGAAATAAGGAAATAAGTTGGTGGTGAGGTTGAAGCTACGTAACTAACTAGATACATATGTACCCATGTTAATGCCTAGAAAATAAGGCCTAATGCAGCACAAATAACTATAGTTACACCACGATATATCATTGGCGATCTATTAAGAAACATCAAGTCTCAGAGTATGAGCACACGCGTGGAGTTGATGATTGACACATCAACCTACTAACCTTCCAGATATAGAATATCATCTATGGCTTGGATAGCAATGTAAAAGTATGAATTGGCTTGCCTTGATCACTCAGATGTAAGTGATTGAGCAATTTCAGATATCTGACTGACTAGATTTAGATCCCATATTCCTCCAAGCCAAATGTACTAAAGCCAAGCCACATACTTTACTCCCGAGACTACCTGGTCTCATATGAAAATGACTCGTTCGGATTCCGTTCACATTCCGTTCGGTCTACATTTAACAGTCGCAATTCTTCCACTTAGCCCCACAATAGTAACACCACTGGGCTCTGCAAACGCAACTATCAGGTTACAATCAGGTGTCAGTAAGGGGCTTCGGGACCTCGGGAGTAGCTTGGGGAGGTTTAGAAATGGCCCAGCAAAATCACTTACGTGATATGAGCACAGCCCTCGTTGAGCTCAATAATACGGCCGCATTTCTTGCACCGTTTCCATTTCTTCCGCTTTATCAATTTCTCCAATGATTTGTCTAGTGGAGCTAGACACTTGCCCCTATGGGCACTCCCCTTGCACTTCCTACACGTTTGTACGCCACACCTGCAGGTGCCAACCGTTTTCGAAGTAAACGCGAGCCAAAATCCTATGGTTGGCGAGATATATCGAGAGCAGGTTAAATCTGAACAGTAGGTTCGGTCTGGATCGTTGAGCTCAGTTGCCCTTTTCTTTTGTTCTTGAACCAATGCAGATCCTATCATCTTCTTCATGTCCGAACCTTCGATTGGCTTGTGGCAGCATTGAGGAGGGAACATGGATTCATCTTGCAGGGATTTCGTGACCATGCGGATTAAGCAGTCCTTGCAATAGAAGTGGGAGCATTGTGTTTTGAAGATTTCGCTGCGGACTTCTCTACAGGAAGTGCAGGTCTCAGGCTGGGAGGATTCGGCCGGGTTCAGGACTTTGATAGAACGCATTATTTTCTTGAGAGCGTGGACTAGCTTTTGGATCGCAATAGATATAAATTTGGCGAATGTCTTTGTTTCTTTGGGTAAAGGGGCGTCTTCTACCTCCTTTCCTAGTGACAGAGGTGTGGTCAACTTAAAGTCACTCAATATGTCTCTTTGTCTTTCGATTTCGGATTTCCATATAAGTAGAGCCACTCTCCTGTCGGGCTCTAGTTCTTCTAGCCTGCTGGCTGTTTGGTTTGTATCCTTCGGTAGCAGTTGAGCTTCAGACCTGTCGATATTATCTTTCACGTCTTCCAGCAGCAGCTCCAAGAGTAGGGACCTTGTATTTGGTGGCGTATCCTTGTCCATCTTAAGAGGAAACCTCTCAGAGGATTAACGTACTGAATGTCACTTGAGATGGGGTTTACCAATAAGGGAGAGGTAGAAAGAGTCAGATTCACATGTCTATAGAATGTTGGTTAAGAAAAAAGTTATTCAACTCTAAATGTATGACGAACTAGTATGTGATTCGTGCTGTAAGGATGAGGTCGACCTATGTCAATTTCCCATTCGGTTATTATGTTGTTGAACTCTTTGAATGTAGCTATTGCCCTATTCCAATATATACGTCCAATATAGATGTTCCCATACAGATGTTCCCAAATAGATGTTCCCAAATAGATGACCGGTATAGATGCCTCTCTATAGATCGCCCCGGACCCGCAAAAAAAAAAAAGCCACGATGAGTCAGCGATCTTAATACCGGGCGAACTAGATATAACCCTGCGAGACCCGCCGGACTCTTTCATTCTTCACTTCTACAACACTGTCAACTCGGACTGGTTCTCGTCAATAATCACCAAACTGGGGATACCCACCCAATTCGCCCAAGATGCAGGGCTTCAGTAAGTCTAGATCCCAAAAAAAAACATGCGGAACAGGTCAACTAACATGCCGCTAACTAGACATGGGACGGTTAGCAAGAGATTCCAACTCTCCATCTAACATGCAACTAATATATTTACTAGGTATGTCCCGCCAGACCAAGAAGGCGTGTCAACCGGAAACCAAATCGCGGGGAAGCACCCGCTCGGCGCGCGCGCGCGCCACCTCCACACGACAGGTGCGCTCGTCGTGCGTTTCGAGATGCCGTTCGCCATATGGTGCACGAACTGCAAGCCCCACCCAATCATAATCGGACAAGGCGTGCGCTTCAACGCGGAGAAGAAAAACATCGGCTACTACCACTCGACTCCGATCTACAGCTTTCGCATGAAACACACCGTCTGCGGCGGAACCATCGAAATCAAAACCGATCCCCAGCACACAGCTTACGTTGTTAGCGAAGGAGGACAGAAACGCGACACCGGTGAAAACAAGGAGCTGCAGCCTGGAGAAATCGCCATCAAACCATTTGCGCGAGACATCGATCCCGCGGAGAAGGATCCATTCTCGAAGCTTGAGGGGAAGATGGAGGATAAGAATCGGGCCAAGACGGAGGCCGATCGCATTCTTGAGCTTCAAGCACGACAGAAGCGCGATTGGGAGGATCCGTATGAGAAGTCTAAGCAGCTACGAAAGAAGTTCCGAGGAGAGAGGAAAGGACTTGAGAATGCGCAGGCCAAGGGCGATGCTCTTAAGGACAAGATGAGTCTTGATATTGAGATCTTGGATGAGACCGAGGAGGATCGACAGAAAGCGAGCATGGTTGAGTTTGGCGAGAGCTCGGCTACTGCTGCCCAGCGTGCTGCCCGCATGTCTCTTCTTCAGCCTATGTTCGAGGAACCGGAGGAAAAGCGAAAGACGCCTCCCTGGAAGCGGACTAGACAGAGTGATCTGATTGCGAGCCGGAAAGCTGCTTTCCGTCGTGAGGTGGTTGCGAATACTCGCGCTCGTTTCGATCCGTTTTTGCAGGGGCTCAAGAAGAAGAAAACCGTCACCTCTTCGACTCCAGCTCGCCGTAACGCTCCCAGTGGCACCAAACTCGGTTCCTCTGCCACGGCACCAAACCCAGGATCCTCTACCGCGGCACCAAACCCAGCTTCGTCTACCATGACACCAAAGCCAGCGCTCGTCATCTACTCCGACTCGGATTAATTTCGAATCCACATTTGTGAACTATCTTGCGTGGGGGAGAGGTGTTCTTTGAGCTTTATTCTTTTATGTATGAGATACCCACTTCGTTCTGAACTTTCAATCATATCATTACGCTTTGAATTATCTATCCCGGCATCACTTGTAGATCTCTCGCTACTTAAGAACCGGCCAATATGACCATTGTAGTAATGCAAAATGGATGGTGCAAAGTTCAACTCAAACAAGTTATATGTGTAAGATAAAGATATTGAAACAAGAATAGTGGGAAAACCCCGGCATAGTAAGACAGGGTATCCTGCATAGTTATTACATACAGTAGAATGACAAGAGCAGAGAGTAAAACACGGTTCAACAAAAGAAAGTCATGCTGCATCACGACTAAGAGCTCAAAAAGGCGCCGAATCCACGCGAATCTCAGCGTTTACTGAAAAATGAGACTGTTGCTGCGCGGGTGCGAGTAGGTTCTGGCTCGGGGGCTGGTGGGACTTCTGAATTGGGCGTGGTCGAGGCGTCGAGAGACTCGGAGGATGCTTGCCGGGAGAGTTGGGCAAGTTCGCCAATGAGTCTGGACGATATCAGTACAATGTTTGGATTAATACGAGCATATATTGGACTGACCTGTGATGCTCGCTGTACCAATCGTCATTGGCTGTGCGGATGTGCTTAAGCTGTTCCTGGATGCTTGCCATCTATAGAATTCATTAGTCTCTCTATACGCTAATATAGTCTTCATAATCATGTGAATGGGTGGAATGCGGGAAGATCTGATGAGTAGGGAGACTTCTTCAATCGGGGATCTCCCACCGTTCCCTCAATGGATGGGCCTAGGTCCTCACCTTCCGTTGTGGCTGGACCCCCATCTTCAGCGTTCTCGCTACCCTCATCAGCTGTCGCCCACCGGCTAGCCTCCAACCCCGAAGAGCTGCTCTGCTCACCACTGTCTGCCTTCATAACTGCGAGCTCGGTTTCGAGTTCGCGGACCCGTCGCCGACTGGCAGAGATATCGGAATCAACATCGCCAAGCTGGTTGAGGAGACCCATGTTCTTATCAATCTGACTGTTCAGGTCACGTTCGCCAGCTTCAAGCTTCTCGGACAAGGTTTTGTTTTGGTTCTTGCAATCAACGAGCGAGTCGGAGATAGCGGCGTTATCAGCCTTGACCTTGAGAAGTTGATCGCGGGATTCGGAGAGCTGCTTCATAATCGACTCAAGGTGCGACTTCTGGCTGTCTGAGTCCTTGGCAAGCTTTTCAAATTCACCGGCCTGGGCGACGGCGGCCTGGTACTTCTCTCCAAGTGCAGCATGATCAGCCTGGATCTTGGCGAGCTCAGCTGAGTAACGACTCTCGATCTCCTTCGAAGCAGTGGTGGCAGATTCCTGCACCGCAAGGTGGGCCTTCTCGGAGTCAGCAAGCTTGGCCTGCAGATCAGCGACTGTGGCTTTCAAGTCATCCAAAACGGAGGAGTCTTGGGCAGCAGCCTTGGCCTGCAACAACTGCTCGTTGACACTAGCCAGAGCCGCATCGTGGGCCTTCTGAAGCTCATCGATATTAGTCTTGTTAGAAGCTTCGAGTTCCTCCCTAAGACCAGACAGCTTGGACTCGTGCATAGTTAGAAGTTGCTCGATTGCCTTTCCGTGCTCGGCATCGATCTCAGCAGCCTTGGAGGTTTGAGCAGCCTCAATCTCAGCCTGCAGCTTAGCTTTGGTCTCTTCGAAACCCTGCTGGAGTTCGGCAATTGCCTTGCTGTGCTCAGCATCAACGTCAGCAGCCTTGGAGGTTTGGGCAGCCTCGATCTCAGCCTGCAGCTTGGCTTTAGTCTCTTCAAAGCCCTTTTGCAGTTCGGCGATTTGCTGCTCGTGATGCTCGGCATCAGCTTTGCTAGAACTCTCCAAAGCGGAAAGCTCGCCTTGCAACTTCGCCTGAGTCTCTTCGAATTGAGTCCGAAGTTCGGTGGTCTCCTTTTCGCGACCCTCGGTATGGGTAGCAATCTCACGAGCGTGGCTTTCAAGTGCCGCATTCAATTCAGCCTCAAGTGACTGAACTCGGGTGGAGTGGGTAGACTCCAATTCCTTGTGTGTGGCAAGCAATTCATCGTGCTTCGTCTGAAGATCAGTGAGAGCGCTGACATGGGAGCCCGATGCCTCCTTGACCCGCTCCAATTCGGATGCGAGTTGAGCGGCATGCTCAGCCTTCAACTCTGCCAGAGCTTGTGCGTGCTTTTCAGACACATCAGCAGCCTCCAAGGTGTGTTTTTCGAGAAGGAATACGGCTTCTGCAGCCTTGTCCTCCAGAGCCTTCATCTTGCTGTCCTTCTGTACACCCTCTTGCTTGGAATGATCTTCTACGTCCCGTAGAGTGCGGTGGATGGCTTCGGCTTCGGCTTGCTTGCTCTGCATCTCTTCGAGCAGAGCGTTGATTTTACCAGTGCCAGTGGTCAGCTGCGATTCGAGCGACTCACACTTCTGTCGAAGGGCGTCAATCTCCTGGATGGCAAGGTCTTGCGCAGAGGCACTTCCCTCATCCAGTGCACGGCGGGACTCGCCGAGGGCATTCTCGGAAGCCTCCAGCTTCTCCTGCAGCAATTTGAGTTCTGCTTCATGCGTGGTCTTAAGCTCAGCAACGGCATCTTCTTGTCCCTTCTGGGCAGTAGCCTTAGATGCCTCGAGGGCATCACGGAGTTCCTGGAGTTGCGTGGTGTGTTCTGCGCCGGTCGATTCCGCCGCCGCCATGGCAACAGTGAGCTTCTCCGCGTGGGAAGCCGAAATATCTGTGATAGCAGTTTCATGTTCGGCCTTGAGGCTTGCGATAGCAACCTCATGGGCAGTCTCCAACTGCTCAACCTTTGATGACAATTCAGCGGCCGCAGTGTCGCGTGCCTCTTGGAGCTCAGCTTGAATCTTCTCAAGGGCCTGCTTAAGCTCAGCGATTTCTTGGTCCTTCTCGGCAATCAAGGTAGTCTGCTCAGGGCTTTCCTGGGCAACAGATTCGGCTGCAGCAAGCTTCGCCTCGAGGGAGGCTACTTGCTCTTGAAGACCAGAGATACTCTCCTGAGCAGACTCCTCCGCGGCACGGACCTCCTGCTCCTTGAGCGTATTCAGCTTCACAATCTCCGTGTTAAGGTTCTCCATGACCTGGTCACGGCCCTTCAGTTCTTGGTTGAAGTGTTCGAGGTCCAGAGCTTTCTCTTCCTCCAGGGCAAGCTTCTGGAATTCAATTTCCTTCTTCAGAGCAATGATCTGTTCCTCAAAGTGGGTAGCTGCAGACTTGTGCTCTGCCAGCTCTTTCTCGATGGCCTCAAGCTGAGTCTGATGTGTTGACTTGAGCTCGTCAATAAGGGCAACTGTCTTGTCATCCCCTTCCGCGGCAGCGGATTGTCTAGCTTCCTCCAGCTCCTTTTGCGAGCTCTCCTCCAGCTCTTTCCGTTGGGACTCCGCTTCGTCTAGTCGCGCTTGCAGGGCCTGAAGCTCCTCGGCATGGGCCGATGTCAACTTCTCAATCTCTGCGGTGTGATCCCCAGTTGCACCAGAATCACCCAAGGGCTCTTCGGCCGAGACAGAAACCTGACTGAGCTTCTCATTGACAGCCTCCAATTCGGTCTTCAAACTAGCGACGGTCTCCTCGCTCTCTGTGAGCTTGGTCTGAAGGGCCTGCAGCTTCTCGGAATCACCACTTCGCGAAATTGAGCCAGGAAGCGTGCTCAGTCGCTTCTTGGGGTCAGCCGTGGTGGCAGATCTAACGGTGCTTGCAGTCGAAGTTGGCCGAGCAGTAGCAGGTCTAGTGGTGGAGGTGGAAGTGGCAGTCCGGCTTGCAGGTGTCGTCGACGAAGTCAACTTGCCCACGGGCTTGCTCGTCGATGTCGCGGTGCGCGTAGTTGTGGTGGCGGGCTTCCTCTCAGCGGTGGTACCAGCAACGCTCGATCTACGGTCGATGGAAGAGGTGGGTTTGAGAGGAGCACGGGTGGAAGTGGTACCGACCATGGACATGCGCTTCGCGGTACCAGAGATTCCCCGCCTCTCATCTCCTGAGCTCGCCACAGACCGAGGCTTCTCATCTGCAGAGCTGCTGACTGACATGCGAGACCGGTGGGACGAGACGGTCGAGGTGCTCAGCGGCTTCCGGGTGGTTGTCGTGGTCGGGGGACGAGTGGGAGGTTTGTTCAACGTGCCGGTGGTCGTTCGGGTTGTACCAGTCGTGGGTTTCGATGCAGAGGACGAGGTGGGCCGTTTGCTGGTAGCTGTTCCAGATACAGGACGCTTCGCGGCGCCAGGGCTAGCCTTATCCGGAGAGGCCGCGGGGCTTTCCTTGGATACCTCGGGGCTGGGCTTGACAATCTCTTCGCCTCCGGAGACGACGCTCGACTCTATCGGGGTAGCTGGGGGCTCATTTTCATCAACCTCCACAGGAGCAGGGGCAACGACCGGTTCTTCGTTTGACGACATATCGGTAAATTGGTCGGGATTAAGGTATTAAAGAGGGTAAGCTTGGTGGTAAGGTTCAGTTGGCGTGTACCAGTGAGCTGTCTGCAAAAATCATGGTGAGTTGTCAGCTTTGAGTAAATTCAGAACCCTAAACATATTATTGCCCAACCGGCTCCTAACCGGCTCGCTCCCAACCCCAGATTCGAGCTCTTAAATTCATGCAACTCCCATGACCTCGTCAGGAGCTTGTAGCGTTATGGGTGCAAGCATAAAATGTCATTGTCCCAGTTGCTCAAGGTATTCCCACTGTACCCGCAGAACTGGATACCATTGTACAGCTCCAACGAAGCTCCCGAGGTCCCGTCTATAAACAAACACGCAGAAAAGAGAAAGAATGTACTCACGCGCCGCACAACCGTTCCAATGTGAATGCTTCACAGTTACTGAAAGACTGATATCCAGACCAGAGAAGTCCAGACCAAAAAAAAAAAAACAAAGCAATTAAACCGACAAAAAAGCAAATGGTGTTAAAATGCTTTGGGGAAGAAAAGGGGAAAGCGGGAAAAAGAGAAAGCGGTGTCAATTTAGGAGGAGGGGGGGATCGCCGCTGCTTCTATACTTTGGACACTTTTTTTTCTCAACACATCCCCCCCCCTAAATGGGTCGTGCATCCGGGGTATCTGGGTATTTCCTTTCATTTTGTCTTACTATCATTCTAGTTAATTATTCTAAAATGAATACAATAACTAACTATGGGTTCAATATCGTATTTGCTTTGTTCAGTATCTATACGTTCAGTCCCCTAATCCCCCAAAGCCCTGGAAACCTTCTCCGTACCACCTTAGTAGGTACTCCGTACTTAGTACCCAATATGTCTCGGGAGCAGAATTGGGAGCTCAAAGACACAACTTCTAATATAATCAGCCCTGATGGAACCTTTGCTAGAATATCCACGCTACTTTAAAACATACATATAACTATATAACTAGTCAGGCTTCAACCGAGGTATACCTACCTAGGTAAGTACCTAAGTAGTATGTTGATAGTTGACCATCCATGGATATTCAACACAATTCCGGTGGTTCGTGGTCTGTGGTTCGCGGACCGACTCCACCTGGGCAGATACCTAGGTACCTACAATATAATATATACCAGTGGACATTCCAAGGTTGTAGTAGGAAGTTATGAAAGATTCAAATCTGATTTGGTCTCTATGACCTTCATTCTCGCAAAGGGGTATTCGAAAATCAAGTCTACGCAATGTCACCAATATTCCACCTAATCCTGCCTCTCCCTCAATTAAATCATAAAACATCCAATCCCAGTTTGACGGCTTGGCCCTGGATATGTTGTAGGATGCGCTCGGAGAGTTGACCGCCGATTGTATCGTCACATTTGATATCGATATATCGATCGTCCCCTGTTGATACTGTCAGAATAGCAAATAGTATGATAAATGAAAAGTCTTACCCCCATATGATTGCAACCCATCACGGAGTGCAATCTTCTCTGCATGGGTCCACCGACCACAAGAGATATGGCTGTCGACCTCTTCCAACTCAAATTGCCTGTATGCTAAAGGACGTTGGGGGATGCGATGGTTTGTCTCACGTAGCCGGCCGTCATTTAATGCATCCTTCAGAGTCTTCACGTGTCGCATCACTATTTTAGAACGAGCCATCACGCCCCCACTAACATCATAATGCATCTGGGCGAGAGAACATATCCTATCACAGGACCCCCACAGCAAATCCAGGATAATGCGAAATTGTCGCGCTCCCCGATCATTCATAGTCTTGTACATCTTGAATCCGTGTATGATCAGGTCAATCAGTCGGGGAACAATATGGGCTTCGAGCTGATTGACTAGGTGTGCACCATCCTCTTCATCCTCTGGGGCTTCTGTGTAAATGATCCACTGGTTCTCTTTAAACACACTGTTGGCGATGAGGCTGCACTGGTTTCTCAAGGAGGAAGCTGAGGCAGGATCCTTGGTCATTGTTTCAAAGAGACCTCGTAGCCGCTCAATGAGCTTCATGATACCCCTGAAATGGTCTTTTGCAGAGGGATCAGCGTGGGTCTTGAGAGTTCTCCTTGTTTTGCGCATTGCTTCCCAGGTGTCCTTGAAGCCAGATTCTTTGGTGGCCTCCGTCAGCCACGTGAAGATATCGGAGCGAGTGTTTCGATGGTCCTGATTCGGGCGGAGTGGCTCCATATTTGGTGTCTCTGGTACTTCCTGGGGCTGCGACGAGGCATTTTGAGATCCTCGAGCATTTGCTGACACGCGACTTACATGTGTGTCATCCCTTTGGTTTCTTGGTACGCTCTTGGGGATTTGCACCTCGAGAGTGTCTGCATTTGCGATCTGCTGGGTGGGTGTTGATTGATTCCGGCCTTCAGCCGAAGAATGATCATATGCCTCTTTTTCGTCTTCGTATTCAGATTCGTCTTCAGATGTATCGTCTTGTGCGTCTTTAGCTTGATCATCCGCCTCTTCTTCATCTTCATATTCGGATTCGACTGCAGAGGCATCGTCTTGTGGGTTTCTAGCTTTCTCGCCAGCTTGATCTACCTCTGCTTCATCTGCATCCTCGGATTCGTCTGCAGATGCATCGTCTTGTGTGTCTTTAGTTTTCCCTCCAGCTTGATATATCTCTTCTTCGTCTTCATATTCTGATTCGTCTTCAGATGCATCGTCTTGTGTGTCTCTAGCTTCCTCTCCAGCTTGATTATCTGTCCCCGTCTCGCCTTCATATTCGGATCCGTCTCCAGGTCCATCATCTTGTGTATTTGTAGCTTTGTATCCAACCTGATCATCAGCTTGATCCTCGTCTTCGGCCGGGAACAGATCGACTGGTTCGGGAAATGGATCATATTCGGCCTGACGCTGAAGCTCGTCCTGGCTATTAATTAATTCTTCTTCTTCATTGCCACCGGTCGCATCTTGGATTGTTTCAGACTCGCTATCGCCTGATCCAGATTCGTCATTGTTGGGCTCGTTGTCTTCTTCGTTGTCGGAAATGATGGGAGGTGACTCCAATCGTACGAATCTAGGCACTGTACGGTTTCTCATCCTCAACCCGCTCGTAATTTTTGGCTCGGTTTGAGGGGTCTTTCGAGACTTGGTCGGGGAAGGGGAGATAGGAATATCAAAGACATGGCCATGGGTGGTGCGGCGCCTTTTGGGGTCTTGTATGTTCGCAGTATCGCGCCCGGACGCATTGATATTATTCAAGAGCCCAAGACTGTAGTCGGTAGATCTTTTATTGGATTTTTTTGGTGACATCTTCAAGAGCGCGTGGGGAAGTTAACAAATAGGCAAAGACGCGTGAAAGGAAGAGCTCTGGTGGAGCCGCAAATAACATCCCGCTTCCCCCTCCAACCTTCTTTCTCTCTCACTTCAACCTCAAGATTTTATCAAACATGGCTAACCCGGTTATTCGTGTTTTGTCCACTGTGGACTCTACACCGCATGCCTTTATCAAACCCAACAAAAAGATCCACGAGTCGCAAGATGTATCGACTTTCCTGACCTCCAAAGCCTATACTGAGATCATGACGTGGATACTACAACTCAACCGATCTATGTTTCCACTGAAGTTGGCCGATGACACTATACAAACTTGGACTCTCAACAGCGATGCGATACAATACTCCGCTCCGGTCCGACAATTGCAGCGGCTTCTCTCGAAACTCGAAGATATCATACAAGAAGTTCCACCAGATACCGGCCCGCGGAGGTTTGGAAACATAAGCTTTCGAAGATGGTCTGAAGTCGTTGAAAGTCGCGCATCCGACTTGCTAAAGGAATGCCTACCGGCCGACATCTTGGACAGGGGATCGTTGGGTGAGGACACAACGGCGGAGACGGAGTTGAAATCATATTTCTTGGGCAGCTGGGGAAGTGGCCAGCGATTGGACTATGGTACTGGCCATGAACTGAGCTTTCTAGCCTTCCTGGGTGGAATATGGAAGCTGAATGGATTTCCCAACGCCGGTCCAGGAGTGGAGGAACGAGCTATCGTGGTCGGGGTGATCCATCCGTGTGTCCACCAAGAATCTACCACACCGGATATGCTTCGTCCCTTACTGACTGTTATTACCTAGATACCTGGAACTTGTCAGACTACTCATTAAGACATACAATCTTGAGCCTGCTGGCTCGCATGGCGTCTGGGGACTTGATGATCATTCCTTCGCCCCTTACATCTTTGGGTCTGCACAGCTATCGCCTGCAATCAATGATACTGATCTAACTCCCGAAGAAGGCTCACTCCCCAATGCACCCGACCCTGGCGGGGTCGCCAATGCAAAAGTTGTTGAAAGGGAACGCCAAACTAATCTATATTTCTCCGCTATCGGTTTCATTTATGATGTGAAGAGAGGCCCATTCTGGGAACACAGCCCCATGCTGTTCGATATTTCTGGAATTCGAGCTGGCTGGGGCAAGATCAATAAGGTTCGCGGTCTTGATACTCAGTAGAGATGTTCACGCTGACCGGTCACACCAGGGAATGATCAAGATGTACAACGCTGAAGTTCTCTCAAAATTCCCCGTGGTGCAGCACTTCCCTTTCGGATCCCTATTCAGCTGGGACCGTGATCCAAATGCGCCTCTGCCCCCTTCCACGGTTCATGCCACATCTGGTCCTCAGGCACGCCCTGTTGCGCCGGATTCTGGCCACCCTTCTGTTGCCGCTACCCGTCCTATGCCCGGAGCTGGCACTCAGGCTCCCTGGGCTAAGCCCGCAGCAGGCGCACAGACTGTTCCCCCGATGACCTCGACAGCAGCCCCATGGGCTGGGGCGAGAAGAGAGGGGGCCCCAAACCCAGTGCCTAGTGGTGCGACCAGAGTTCCCTCTGCTCTTCCGGATCCTTCAAGGATGCCTCCAGGCCCCATGGCACCGACGAGAGCACCTTGGTCTGCTCAGTCTCGGCCTTCGCCTTCACAAAATGGAGATGCCGATGTGCATACCAAGGCTCCCTGGGCAAAATGATCATGAAGAAAAATAATACGAATAGTTACCAATATACACTTGTTGGGGTATTGTAACAACTAGTTCCTATATCAATTGGCAGACACCCATCAACCCACAGTTGACTCCTATGTGCTATTCCCCATGCCGGTGCAGTAGTAATGCGCTCTGGGGACCACCTGGGTACGTACATTGTCTAAGAATATATCTATGATAAATTCTTTGGTCATAATGGTCTTACTATAAAGAGAAAGGGTGGGAAAAAAAGATGACAAACCCAGCCAAAGAGTGCGAAATTCTCAAGTTCAGTCTAAAGTAGGTGTGACTCGTGGTCGACATCCCAACTAGACCACACAGGTTTCCGCGTTTACCACTACACTGATTTTGATATTTAACCAACACTCAGGCAACAAGGCACCCAGTTCCTATATATATATTATCAAGATGTTCAGAACACCCAGAACGTCATATTATTAGTAACCTCGGTTCCACATCACAGCCTTCCCATTGCCTCTGATATGCGTGGCTCGGCCAATACCGGACCGAATAGGCTGTCTGGACGAATCACAGCGATGATTGATTGCCCACCGCCAAGAAATATCGGGCCGGAGCCCACCCAGTGCCAAGCCCTCGCCTTAGGTATGCTCATTTGGGGGGCGAGGTGATTATAATTTTCACCTGTCACATTGAATCCAGACAAATAGGTTAGAAGTACTATACTGTCCAACATTGTGACATCATGAATTGCCCATCTCGGACTGACGACACCTTGCTGCACGATGGGTGGAATCAGAGCCCGCGCTTCCTTTCTCCAGACCTAACCACCCGCCAAGACCTCAATGGCATCTCAAACACCCGCGAGAACAAAGACGATGAGTCTGGTCCAGGCACTTTGCAGGGAAGCTCCAATTGGAAGGGCATTCCTGCGCTAGAGGAAAAGGATGCAGGGGATCATCTTGGCTTGGGGTGCGAGGCGTCCCTGACAATGTCAGGTATGAACAGCAAGCTTCTTATATCCAAGTGTTAACCTTCTAACAAGTAAACAGGACGCCTCGCTCCCCAAAATACTAACGTTGGAATCAGTCATAAAGGACTGAACCCAAGTAACAATATTTTCCTATCATCTCAGAGTATCAAGGCTTGGGCCTTGTGGCTCCTCTCCGTGCTTCTTGTCTCAGCAGTCATCTCCTTCGACAGTCTGAAGCGGTATTTCACAGCTAAACAACCAATCATACTGGAAGCACCTGCTGTACAGCAGTATACAGAGCCAGTCAAACGATCAAGTTGCGCCCAGGGAGGTACTCGTGGTGCATACGACCTACCTCTACATGTCGCGGCCCTCTTCATCATCCTAGGCACTTCAAGCATTGCATGTGCATTCCCCATTCTTGCAACTCGATTCCCGCGGATGCACATCCCACCCGCGTTCCTTTTTTTCGTCACTCATTTTGGAACTGGCGTCCTCATCGCCACGGCATTTGTGCATCTCCTTCCGACGGCGTTTACTTCGCTGGGAGACCCATGTCTCTCTAATTTCTGGACAAAAGACTACCCAGCCATGCCGGGCGCCATTGCCTTGGGTGGTATATTCCTCGTGACGGTCATCGAAATGGTATTCAGTCCAGCCCAGAAAATCTGCCGTGGAGGAAACAAGGTCCCAGCCGAAAGGCCAGCTTCCTGCCCTGCGGATGCGGCGACAGATCCAATTCAAACCCTTGATGTCCCTAGATATCCCGAGCATACTAGATCACCGAGCTCGCACTCCGCTGGGATGGATGGCGGATCCCATTTGCGAGATATGGGTCCGCTAATTGGAAGATCTGCGAGCATAAGTCGAGCTATCAATCGCATGGGCGAAGGCACTGAAGATATAGTTCGCGTTGCATCTGCATCTAATGTGCGAACTCACCACGAGAAGGATAACGGGGCTATACAGACAGACGTGGAGCGTCATGACGATACCTTCGCCTTAACTCCTGAGCAGAAGCAGAAGAAAGAGACCATGCAGGTCTACCTTCTTGAGATGGGCATTCTTTTCCACAGCGTATTTATCGGCATGTCACTCAGTGTATCGGTTGGGAATGAATTCGTGATTCTGCTGATTGCCATTGTATTCCATCGTGAGTTCTTCGTGTCCATCAGGTCAGTTGGAACAGTGCATTTAACTAAATCAACGACAGAAACATTCGAAGGCCTGGCGCTTGGATCCCGCATTGCCTCACTTCCCTGGTCAGAAAAGCAAATCCAGCCCTGGATCATGTCCCTTGCGTACGGATGCACGTAAGTTAATTCTCCACTCACACCGGACTGAATGGTGCTGACAAAGGTCCAGAACCCCAATCGGGCAGGCTATTGGCCTCGCAACCCATACACTTTACAGCCCCGACTCGGAGGTCGGTCTACTCGTTGTTGGCGTCATGAATGCCATGTCAGCGGGACTTCTGATTTTTGCCTCGCTTGTGGAGTTGATGTCGGAAGACTTCCTCAGTGACGAGAGCTGGCGCATTCTCCGTGGGAAGAGAAGGGTTTATGCTTGCATCCTGGTATTTTTGGGTGCTTTCTGCATGAGCATCGTCGGTGCCTGGGCCTAAACACCCTGGGTTGTAGATGCTCTGGAGAATATTTCGTCTGTCTCAAACTGGACAGTCGAATTCCTCCGTCAATAAAATCGCCACTGGTCTGGCTTTCGGGTGTGAGCCTGTATAAGAACGTTGGTTGGGGACGTTGTTATAATTGGCTTTCCAGTATATATATATATAGAGTGAAATATAGACACTAGCAGAAAGGGTTGGTTGTAACCCCCAAAAGTCAAGTTCGTGAGAATTTATTCCATCTCCTCAAAACGGAGTAGAAAATATTATTATCTAAAACAATAGGATTGCTCTATGATATTAGAATATCCAACCGGGTCCTAGGTAGAGCTACTTCACTGTTATACCCCGAGACGAGCTGAGGGAGGAGACTGATAGTGAAGGGCTAATATAGAAAAAAAGAGCCAAAAGAAAAAAAGTAATCCGTCCCAACTACTCCTGGCGAAGGTCGAAACCCTGACCAGTTTCACCATTGCATAGGCTTCCTAATGCGGTATCACCCGTGGTCATTGTTCCACCTAGCAATCAGATGACCTCATGTCTCTCACCCACTCGGCCACCCAGGGAGGATTTTGGCAGACTACTTTGACCTAGAGTCAAGTAGACCGTCTGGGAATCATTTGAACAAGATATCTATTAGCTAGTATTCACCATTTACCGCGCAACCTTGCTGGGCCCTGCTCCCTCGTTCATATTCCTCGAAGAGCCAATCACCTGAGAATCATTGAAACAAGATATGCATTAGCTAGCATTCACTTTTCACCACCCACCCCACCGGGCCCTTCTCTCTCGTTCATATTCTTCTTCATTGTAGCCATCCCATTCGGCACGCAGATCACTGGCTGTCCGGACCGAACTATCCACCCGTTGCCCTCGGAAATGGACATTTCCATAGCAGCTGATCATCCCAACAATGTCACCATCGCCCAAAAACTCAATCCAACCTTCCTGGTTATCTTGGATGCTCATTTGACCCTCACTGGTCTCCCGCCCACGCCACTTAAACCGAATCTTGTCAAAGGAGGGCCTCATAGGTCGTTCTGGCATCCACAGTACACCCTCAAACATCCCGAAGTCGTATTCCCCCAAACCTCTTTCCCGTTAAGGCGGAGGGATAAGGTAATTCCGTCAGATGGCATAGCGTGTGGCCACTCGTTTTCAATATCGGGGGCACGAACTTCGTACGTCCCATTAAGTAGACCCAGGGTGCGTTTCAGGGTTCGAGGTGGGGATGGTGGGTCTGAGTATGCCTCGGACTCGTTCGCATCCTCAATGTCCATCTGGTCATCTAAAGCATCATAAAGGCGCTCTCCTTTCTGCTCAATTAAGTTAGTTACGTGCCATTTACGTTTGTCAATGGGAGAAGATAATTACCATCCCGCAGGCGACTTCGTACGAGGGAGGCACATCCTGGTACCCGGGCTGCCCAGACCACCCACTCGGCTCGGGGTGGTTTCTAGTGGGCACATTCGTATTGGATTGTGTCTGTTTGCCATACACGCGGCGTTTGGCGGTCTGTGGTTGATTGGGTGTCCCCTCGTCATTTGAGGCTCTCTTTCTCTTGGCTGGGGCAGTTGCGGTTTTAACAGCAGCAGCCTTAGCAGCAGCAGGTTTGGCCGCAGTGGCTTTGGAAGCAACGGACTTGGGTGCGGTATCTTTCTTTGGGGGAGCAGCTTTAGGCGTAGCAGCTTTGGTAGCCGCAGTTTTAATAGTTGCAGGTTTGGCAACAGCCTTGGTCGCAGCAGGTTTGGCCGCGGCTTTGGCTTTGGCTGTGGTAGTCTTGCTCTCGGTCGTTTTGGACGCAACAGTCTTAGAAACTGTAACAGTCTTGGTGGTAACAGTCTTCGTCGATGTGATCTTGGTATTAGCCTGTGGCTTTTCCTCCGAATCCTGTTTCTTCCATTCCTTCTTCAGATTCTTTTCGATTTGTAGGCTTTCCTTGGGGACACTCAGGGCGCCGGCTTGCACGGCTTTCAGAAGTCGCATCTTGGCAGTCGCCTTGACCTTTGACGGTGGCAGGCCATAGTGAAGGAGCTGTGCTTCATACCAATGGCCTGGGTGGTCTGGTGTGCTATTGTCTGTAGTCGCGGTATCGTAAAGGGCTTTTATTTCAGCTGGAGCTGCACGGCGGTGGATCTGTCCTCCCGACGCGGCGACATAGAATGTGTCAATATTGTATGAGAATTGGCCGTTGGTGACAGGGGGCATGATGGGTTCAGTGTAAAAGCCGTGAAGATACGGGGTGAGAAGATCAGTAGAAGATAAAGATAGGGGGATCAGATATTGACAGATGTACCGATGTGGGGGCGGACCACAACTCCACCTTGATCTGCCTCATCTTTACCCCTCGAAGTTTATTTTCTTCCATCTTCATTGTTGCCACTTTTCTCAGGTATTGATCGTATTGTATTGATGCATAACTATCTTGATTATTGACCTTTGTAGACTCATTTAGGGATATATACAGTCAACGATGTTATGTTTAACATTTGGGTATCATTTACGAAAAGTCCACTGGAGGGAGTCCCCTCTGTTCCAGGGCCACCTGGACACTGTACTGCATGGTCTCTATAGCCTCTTCCCAGCTTATAGTTCCCTCGGGTTGGGACCCTTGTGGTTCTTTAGATCCCTGCTGGGAATGATCACCCACCAACCACATCAACCAACGCACCACTGAAACGGCTTTGTCCACATCCTTCTCTTGCAATGTCACACTGGACAGATATTTACATAACGAAGTAACGTCATCACCATATGGACCGCCAGCCGCAAAGACTTCATGCCATGAGCCAACGGCATCTCGCAAATCTGGTAATTGAGACAGGCGCCGTGATGTAAAGACGGGACGCTTGGGGAGAGGGGGTAGAGGTAGAAGTTTCTCTACGACAATTGGTGCAGGAGGAGCTTCCTGTGCCCGAGGTGGAGGTATTTGTGCAGGTTCAGTGGCTCGCGAGCGCTGTTGCATGCGAGAGCGGTTTTGCTCCTCGAGGAGTTCTTGTCTGATATCTTCAGGTAAAGCAGCAAGAAATTCGGCTGAAGCTTCGGCTGGCTCTTCGATATTTGGTGACGCCTGTCTAGACAAGGCCTCTTCATCAATACCAGCAGGTACGGCCGCTGGGCGTGGAAGAACGAACCCAAAGCTGGATTGGTTCAGAGGCCTGGGCTTAGGCTTGTTGACAATCGTTGCTGACTTAGGTGGGCGGCCACGCCTCTTTTTAGGGGGTGAAACCGGCCTTCTCGGCTTGACGAAACTGGATGTTGATGGGCGTAGCTCTGGTACTGCCGGCGGCGACGGCACAGTGTTAGTGGCTGGGTGGTTATAATATCCCAATACTTCTTGGCGGACATCTTCAGGCAATGCCGCCAATGCGTCTGGGTCTAGTTGGGACTGCGGGGGAAGGTCTGCTTGGATGGGCTGTCGTGATTCACGTGGGAGAGGACAAGGAGACCCAGAGCGAGAATCCTGTCGCGGCTTTGCTTGTGCAACAAGTCTTGACCTGATATCCGTGGGTAACTCGGCAAGGACTTTGGGATCTGCTTGAGTGGGCATAATAAACTGGGACCCCGAGGTGTTGAGTGGCTTGTGGGCACTATCGCTGAGTACCGGATCTGCTTGAATACGAACAGAGTCATCTTTCTGCGGACTCTCCAGCTCGTCGGGGTCTGCATCTGGAGTGATTTTCTTGCGAGGTGGAGACTTCTGGAAGTTAAGTTGCCGCTGGCTGCTCTCGGGGCCTGAAGGGCCTGAAGGGCCAGACTTTATAGGTTCAAGTTTAGTCATTTGTACACCCAGACCTCTCAAGTCTCCAGGTGAAAAGTTGAAACTTCTCAACATCGATATGGCTTCTTTCCCAATGACTTCCGGTACATTGGTTGCAACACCAAGAGCGACGCTCTTGTTGAATGTATCACACTTTCCATGGCCGAGATGCTTAACCGGTTCCAGTGGAGCGTCCATCGATCGACGCATGATCTTTAGGGTGAGCTGTTTCCCCTTTACCAGATTTTCCATCAATCTTCGATTCAGCTCCTCGCACAGAGAACGCACAAAGTCATCTGCTTGGTCCTGATTGACAAATCGAATCCCCCAGTTGACCTCGGCAGAAACAGATTTCCTTATGGTTTGATCGCCGACTTCTGTTCGGTCAATTCCGCGAGCGTACTCCCACAGTTTAATTCCAGTTTTGGGACCCAGGCCAGATATCAGTCTCTCCTTCGGGAGATCTCTGATATCTTTGACAAACCTCACACTCAGCTCTTCGAGTTTAATTGCCATGCTATTGCCCACTCCAGGAAGATCACGAACCGTGAGATCTCCAATAAAGTCCAGAACAGCATCTGGCTTTAATTGAAACTGCCCAGCAGGCTTGGCTTTTCTGAGAGACACCTTTGCGAGCAGAATATTGTTGCCAATTCCGACAGAGACTGCGCATCCGGTTTTCTCTTTGATTGAATCGCGTAAGCCTTGGGCAATTTCGTCCGCTTTGGCTTGCTCGCGGTAAATTGATCCTTCCGATATAGCCTTTCCATCTGAGCCGCCAGCTTCCACACATAAATTTGTGACGTCAATTAAAGCCTCGTCGATACTAACACTCTGTACGGTACCATCAATGGCAAGTATCGAGGTGTAGAACTTGCGACTCGCATCTTCATAGGCAGGGAAATCATAAGGCAGGACGTTGAGTTCGGGGCATAATTGCAAAGCACCTTTCATCCACATCCCATTCTTAACACCTCGAGCACGTGCAGGATAATTACAACTAGCAATCTCGGAGCCTGATCCGGTGCCATGGGCGATAGCAACCGGCTTGTCTTGGAGCTCCGGGTGATTTAGAACTGAGACAGCTGCAAAGAATGAGTCGAAATCCACATGTAGAATGTACCGTCTTGATCCAAGCACAGGTTTCTTTTTCGATATCCGAGATTGTGCATTTTCCTTCGTTGCAGCCTGGAGTTGGGCTTTCAGATCTGCCTTCCAGGTTGACAGATGATGGAGGCGAGACTCTCTATAATACTGCTGCAGGAATTCCGGGTTGACAACAGAGGACTTCTGCATCCTTGGGTCAGAAAGGAGCTGGGCGTTGTATTCTTCAGAAGTCAAAGCGGGCTTTGTTTGGGCGAGAGGCGAGGTTGATTCGAGGTCAACCAATGGATCTGGCGAAGTGGGCACTTGATCGGAATTGGGAGCTTGGTGTGGCATTGTGAATTGGGCTATATCACTGGCTGGTGTCTCTTCTTGATGCCGAGGGCCATAAACTTCCTCCTCTTTCTGCATAGTAAAGCTAGGGAAGTCTCCATAGTCCGACTGGGATGGCTGGCTCGACATGATTGGTGTGCCCATCTGTGAGGCTTTGGACCGGGTGGACGGGGTCACAGGCTTTGATGAAGAGCCAAGACCCTCTTCGGTTTTGCTCATATCTCGGAGCTGAGGGCTATACCAGCTGGCCCTTGATTGGTCTTTGTAACCTGTGCGAGGGCTATTCGTCTGGCTGGTAAACCGGCCATCATCAAACTTGAGCACCCTCTGGGCTTGACCTTCGTCTACTATTCTAAATTCATCCCATGGCAGCAGACGTCCTGCTTTGATACTGTCTGTCACCCACGCAGGTTTCACAATACGGTAGAGGCGGAACTCTTCACGCTTCTTGGGTGTCAGAGCACTGGCAATGATATGAGTGGCGGCAGTCTTTCCATCTAGATATTGAAGGAATCCACCTCCATGGCTGACAATCAGACGGTGCAGATCTTGCAAGGAAGGTTGGGTGTACCCATTGACATGGGCAACTACACCACGGAATATTGGTGGGCAATCGCCAGCTGATGCTCGAATTTCCGCGTCAAGATTCTGCAATTTCATTTTTTTCCGGCGCATGTAGTCCCCGAACCCGCCGAAGCTGGAGGCCTCATACTCCTCTCCTCCTTCATCATTGAAGTCATCTAGACACAGTCAGATAAGAGCAGAGACTGATATTTGGAGTCAACGTACGATTCTCAATGCGTTTGCGCACTGCACTAGAGTTTATCTCATGACGGGAGCCCATGTTGGGCTGCAGGGACCATCATGACCGATAAGAGAGTATAAGACAAAAAGAGAGCAGGCGTTACCCTTTCGCACGAAGCTCGGAAATCGTCACGTGCATCCAAGCTTTCAGAAAACGGTCACCAGTGGCAATACATAAGCGGTGAATGACTAGTTGATATTATTGATCGATTTTTTTTTTCTCCAATTTTTTGCCGCATCTGTTGCTTGGTAGCATCTTTTCTTTTCTTCTCTTTTTCTTTCCTTCATCCACATCTGTTTCCACGTGGTTCATTCTTTTTTGAACTTGATCATTTTTCTTCCCCCTCGATCTACTCTGATTATTCACAATGTCTGCTGTTCAGCCTGTCGCAGTCTACGCGCTCCGGGTTCCTCCCGGAGCCATGGTTCAAGCAGTCCCCAACGCTGCTGCTTCGGTCAGTCTTATTGTGATCATCAATTAACTGATGACTTGTGCTAACATTGAATCTAGTTCCGCATCAGCATGGCCGCTATCGATCCCGATGAGGCCCCAGAGTACGAGGATGACCAGGACTCTAGCAAGCCTTCCCGCTCCACTCTGAAGATTGTTCGCGCTCCTCCCGGTCTTGACCTCGATGGAGATGATGAGGATGATGAGGACTACAGTGATGAGGATGAGGAGGAATCTGATGACGAGGAGGAGTCCAATGGTGGCCCTAGCGACAAGGAGAAGGCCCGCAAGCTTAAGGAAGCTGCTGCCCTCAAGGACCTCGAGGACGCCATGGAGGAAGATGATGAGGAGGAGGGTGATGATGAGGACTTCGATCTGAAGGCTGCCATCTCCAAGCTCATCAAGGGTAAGGGCCCGGCCCTTGACGATGAGGACTCCGAATCTGAGGAGGGCCTGGAGCTCGATGAGAACGTTATCTGCACCCTCAGCCCCAGCCAGGTAAGACCAACACCCTTTTTTGTTTCACAACTCGTTGAATACATATGTCTAATATCCCCCTTAGAACTACCAACAGCCTCTGGATATCACTGTCTGCGAAGGTGAGCCCGTGTTCTTCAAGGTCACCGGTAACCACACTGTCTTCCTGACCGGTAACTACGTCATTGGTCTCGATGATGGTCACGGCCACGACCATGACCACGACCACGATGATGAGGAAGAGGATGACTACGACCTGTCTCCCGATGAGGATGAACT